ATAGATAGATAGATAGATAGATAGATAGATAGATAGATAGATAGATAAGATGATAGATAGATAGATAGATGGGATAAATAAATGGGCAAAGGCCCTCAATGTTTCTTTTTTATTATGTTTATGATTCCTGTTTCCTGCAATGTTTGCTGACGTCAGAAAGACCACAAATACAAGGCTTCAAACAATGATTGCAGCCAGGCTTTGATCAGGGAAAACCACATTCATATTTTAAAAATGCCTGCTGAAATATTTTTTTAAAGTATATGCGACAACTGCAAAGGGAGCAGGATCACTTTCTCTTTCAGTAGTACATATATATAGTGTATCCTACCCAATTCACAATATTTTCCACTTGGTTTTCTACCTAGGAAGTCTCCATGGGAAATAGGAAATCAGAACCTCTGCGGGGTGAAATATTCACAGCATTGTTTTTTTTTCTCACAATTACTTCTTGCTTTCCCATCTACACATTTGAAGCTTTGCTGAATATAATTTGTAAACTACTCTGATTCACTTAGATAGTAAGAGGGCAGTGCATAGATTTGTTTAACAAAGAAAATAAATCAGAACAAATTGAACAAAAGGGTTTTGAGACAGAGAAAGAGTGAAGGTTCATTTTCCCGCTACAAGTTTATCAGCATAACAAGTTCCCTGCTTTAAGTAACTAGCATATCAGGAAGGACTGTGCTAATTTTTTCACTTGATCTGGTAGTTTTGAGCATGCAATGGTCCTTTACCAACATAATCACATTGTTTTATAGCAGGTCTATTTGTCAATATTATGCAGCACAGTACAGTAGCATTTCTAAAGTCACAAATAAAATCTTTTAAGTCAACGTGTCAGGTATAGTTTACTTCCAAGCTCCTCTCCTTCAAAAATATTACACTGTCCACAGTTGTAGAATGAAATTGTTCAGTTCAGATATGATGGATAAATATGTTCATTTCAACATCTATCCATTCTTAATTTTTTACTCTCCTAATTCTATCCCATTTTTTTTCATATATTTTTTTTCATTTTGTTCCGCTGAGTGTTCTGGTTTTGTAGGCAATTTATGTGTTATAATGCATTTTTGTATGTCTAATATCTCTGTTTATTAATATTCTCTCCTAATACCCAGATATGTATAGCTTTTCCATTGAACAGCATTACGGTATAAACTTTAGAGGATGAATCAATTTCTGCACTGGCTCTCATAAGGCAAATTATTAGAACTATATTTTAATTTGCAATGCTGCATTTTAAGGCAGCCCAAACAAATTCATCTTTAATTCTTAGGTCTGGATCGCTTCCATTTAATTTTTCTATCTTATTCTATGTAACATATAAAATGGGTTTGACTGAATTTGGAGCACAGCAAAGCTCAGTTACTGAGGGTTCAAAATTAAAAACTGGGTGACTGCTTTTGTGTATTTGGATTGTGTCACTGTTTGTGTATTTCCAAGTATTAACATTTATGGATAGGATGGTGGGTTGGCATTTACCTGAGAGTGCGCTGAAGAATGAATCCTCTTCCTCATCCTCAGGGGAGGAAGACCCTCCCACATCTCCGGTGTGGTCCCACTCCAGTGGAATGGAATCAACGCTGACAGGGGTCTCACAGCCAGACCTCTCAGGACCCCCTGCAGTAGGTATGAGGTGGCAGAGAGACTGCTGCGATGGTGGCCCCTCTGGAACTATCTTCTTTGGCCAAGGATCAACTTCCATCCCCCTTGCATGGTCTGAATCAGCTTCATTTTCTGAAGACTCTTTTTCATCTTCCAGTCCCTCAACAAGACAACAGAAATACTGATATTGAACACAAGTTATTAACAATAATTACTTATGGAACTATTTTGTGGTCTCAGTGTTCAAGAAAAGTGGGAATCCTCCAAAGTAGGATTACTTATTTGAATTTATTAACTGCCCAACTATAACAGTCTCTGAGTTGCCTACTCCCTTCTTTCTTCTAAATCAGTGTTTCTCAGCCTTGGCAACTTTAAGATGGATGGACTTCAGTTCCCAGAATTACCCAGCCAGCTGTGACAAGGCTTGCCTTCTGAAACTCTGCATGATCTTTAGTACCTTAGGGGCGAGGTGATCATGATACAGCTGTTTTGATTGTGATTGAAGCATTCAATCATATGCCATTTGAAGACAGATCAGAAACCACTGAAAAGAAATAACCTGTCATTTAATTGCAACAAAGTGTTCTTATTCCATCTTCTAAAGTTGTGTTTTATTTGTCACACAGACACACCCATCTAGCCACAAACATAAATACATACATATAGTCTTTCTCTTTAGAACCCAGAGCATATAAACAGGTGACCTACATCTAGTCATTAATCATATCGTTCCTGCTTAGTTTCCAGGTGCCCTGGAATCAAACAAAAAACACTTTGGATATAATAATAACCCCCTCCTTAACTTGGAAAAATACCCCAGTGTTTTAATTATTGGAAGTGTGGAGAATATATCTTCCACGTTCTTTATATCTACATGGCTTTTGAAAATGAATCTATTGGCAAAGAAACAACATGGGTTCCAGCAAAGATACAACTTCATTAGTTCTTACTGGATGCCAGGATATCAGTCTTTGGTGGAATCGGGCTACTCGGCCAAACACTTCCTGGCAGTAACTATAAAATTCTTCTAGTTCTTCTTCGAGTATAATGGCATCCTCTGGTTCACTTTTTTGAATCAGATACAACCCAGAAGCAATCAGCTGATCAATCTTACTGGTGTTTAGCATTATTTCCCTCTGGAAACCCTGTTTAAAAGACAGATAATTATGCTTCTTAAGCATTACTGCACAGATTACTTAATTAGTGCAATTCAGATTAATCAATCTCATAAAGAGAGGTTGGGAACATATAAGGAGAAGCACAGAATATTTCAGCATGCAAAAGTTTGGTGAAATTAACTCAGATAAAGCAAATAAAGATGTCTACTCTTCAAGGAAAATTCTGCCTTTTCTAAAGTTATTAGGTAGTTTTTTTGTCTAACTTTGAATACAGAAATATTAGTTTTTTAATCAATTTACCAGCTTGTTTTTTTAGTTGATTTGGGCTTTATGTCAGAGAAATATTTCAACCCAGCATGAAGAAGTGCCATCATAGTATAATCAATGAGATTTGCAAGCTATTAGCAAGGAAGGATAAACTTCTCCTGAGTTGCTCTCACCAAATATGGGATGCAAATTGCTTTCTATATCTTTCTGGTAGCTGAGAGAATGAAGATGTGGTGGCAAGCTAGCCTTCTAAACCCCAAAACAAAGGCTAAGAGACATGTACAAGCCCAAAGCATAAGGAATATGTACACTCCTTTACTTAACAGAGGTACACAAGACCAAAGGCTTTGCTTTCTAGCAACAGTTGGAATTTGAGGCTGCTTCCAATAAGCTATTTCTAGTTTATGTTTTATTATATGTAAGCTTTGTCCAACTACTAAAGCAGAGTATTCTCTGCATCTGGTAGGATCCCTATACACATTCCTAAACAAATATCCTCCCCCAATAATTTAAATAATTCTTTGTGCACAAAGAAATATGTATATAGCTTGAACCTCTCCAGTGAAATCTATATTGAAGTTACTACTGATGGAGGGATGCACACATAATTTTTTTTGTATTAAGTTCCTAGACTGAGATTAATATAGGTGTAATTTATTGGTTGAACTTCTATCGTATTATTTCTTTGTACTGTTTGCTCTAATTGCTTTAGTCCAGGCTCCCTGTTTTTGTGGATTTTAATTGTTTTACTCTTTATTATAGATATTGTAAGCAACCAGAATAAATTAAATTATTTCTCCTTATCAGCCATTTAGATGTCCTTCAATTGGGTGGAAGTATTAGGGGGAATCACCTGCTGTATACCAATAAACCAAGTGAAGCTCCTAGGTCATTTAATTTCTTAAGGCAATGGGATCTCATCATGAATGCCAAAACCAAAGGTGAAAACTATAAAGTAGTTAAGATTTTTGTTGATGGTGAGTGCAAGAGCTCTAGGAAACTAGCTCTATAGAGACAAAACAAATGAAGTGAAGATATCTTTTTTTTAACTGGGATACAAGAATGATCTTTCAAGGATAAACATGGAATTCCTAATCTTATATGGTAACCAATAACCAAGAAGGAATTAAGCCGGACTGGCCAAGAATGGTGGCAAGAAAGGACTGATCAACTCTGGATATAAAAGAGACCTCAAACTTATTATTTCAGATATCCTAAATGTAGCTTTGTTTTATTTAGATAGCAGTTTAAATAGTGTTCTCTAAATTTATGGGGCTTCTATCAAAGAATTTAAATGAACTAAGTAGATATACAGGTACCAAATACAAGCACCAGACTAAGATAATCAATAGGACGTCTGTAACCCATCTCCCCCAATCTATCTGAAACATTTTCCTTAAAAAAAAGAAGTCAATATTTACATTAAGCTGCCGCATTTTGTCATCAAAATCACTCTTTGAGAAATGTTCCACATTTGTCAGCTGCAGATCCATTTCTGTTAACCACACCAGGATGATGTTGTCCTTTGTTCCCATAAATTCTTCCCACTGACTGGTAAAGTGCTAAAGGCAATAAAATAATACAGATACTCAAAGCAATAGTTGTGATAACACACAATGTCCTTAAAAATCTTCTATTTAGTAACATCTTAAAATGTGTTGATGTGCTATGGTATCAGGAATGAATGAAGCAAAAATAAAAATTCATTCACTCAAGCCTGCATCTCAAGCTGTAAATTTCACAGAGCGCATCTGGTAATCTTTTTGATTAAAATCACTCAAGTGTTGTTAGTCAATTATACAAATGTAATGATTAGATTTAGCTATCTTCCCTGCCAAAGAGTTTAGGGAAGTATACGCAATTCTTTTGCATGCCTTATCATAATCCTACAAGACAGTTAAGCTTGAATATGTGCATATGGCTGGTCTAATGAATTTAATGACTAAAAATGGATTTGAAGTGGAATCTCCTGCTTTTTAGTTTGACATTCTAATCACATTCAGTTCTCCTCCTGATTTAATTTCAGGACTGAAACCCAGTTTGTGCATGCAAGCGGTTGTAGACTGAACTTCTAATATCTCCAAATAAAACAAGGGCTAAAGGAATAGTATAAGAAGGAAAAAAAACCCTCTAGTTCAGGGCTGTCAAACCTGCAGCCTGCGGGCCGGATACGTCACCTGCTGGCCAGACCTAAGCCTGGTTTAGTGAAGGAGAAAAAAGTCACGGTACATAATGTGACGACACCATGACAACATGAGTTTGACACCCCTGCTTTAGTTTAAGGTATATTAAACAATGTCATTAGAAGGGTTGGAAAATTGATCACTTTTGTGATCGTTTTATAGGTACTGAATTCAGTGCTGGGATTCAAATTTTTTTACTACCGATTCTGTGGACATGGCTTGGTGGGTGTGGCAGGGGAAGGATACTGTAAAATCTCCAGTCAAAGGTGGTATTTTCCAGTTCTCCGAACTACTCAAAATTTCCGCTACTGGTTCTCCAGAACTGGTCAGAATCTGCTGAATACCACCTCTGGTTGAATTCCTTTCTAAGTTTTATTAAAGCTTATAAATGCCCATATGTGTTAACTTCTCTATAAGTATTGGAAATATTAGCATCATTAGCTTCATTCAAATAAGTTAACAATAACAATAATTTGTTTAACACAAAGTTAGAAAACATACTGCATGACAAATATTTTGCACTTCAGTTTCCATCAGACCCAATCAGCAAGGCCAATGATTAAGGACTATAGAAATGGTCATTTGGAAGAGACCAGGATACCCACCTTTAATTTATAACCATCAAGGATTGGTAGAAACTATTTTCTTTCATTATTTAACAAGCACATCACATTACAATCAGGAGGCAGTTAACTGACTAAAATCATTTTGCCAACTCCATGGCAAAATATGGCTTTGAATCCAGGACATTTTGATCTTTCTCTAATATATGATGCCTTATGGAGACTATAAGAGCCCTTGTAGCACCTATAAGAGCCCTTGTAGCACCATGGTTAGAATGTAGTATTGCAGGCTAACTCTGCCCACAGCCTGGAGTTCAATCCTGACCGGCTCAAGGTTGACTCAACTTTCCATCCTTTTGAGGTCAGTAAAATGAATAGCCAGATTGTTGGGGCAATATGCTGGTGTTGCAAACCACTCAGAGAGTGCTATAAAGTACTATGGGGCAGTAAATGAGTCTAAGTGCTATTGCTACACTAACTACAACGCTACGCCAATTTGCTCTCAGATACTACAATTCTCTAATTCTGCAAATTTGAGTAAGTATAGAACTGAAATCAGAGGTAGTATTCAGCAGATTCTGACCAGTTCTGGAGAACCGATAGCAGAAATTTTGAGTACTTTGAAGAACCGGCAAATACCACCTCTGACTGGCCCCACACCCATCTATTCTCTGCCTCCTGAGTCCCAGCTGATCGGCTGGGTCTTCTTTGGTTGCCCTGCACAGAACAGAGCTGGAAAGCAGGTTAGTGGGGTGGGGAGGGGAGGGGATTTTGCAGTAACCTACACCTGCCACACCCACCAAGCCATGCCCACAGAACCAGTAGTAAAAATTTTTGAATCCCACCACTGACTGAAATAATTTCATCTAGGAAGTCAGAAAGTCTAGGTGATGGTTCCATGAGAGCAGTGTTTATCAACCTTGGCAACTTAAGATGCTTTAAGATGCATGCTGGTCAGGGAATTCTGGGAGTTTTTATCTTAAAGTTACCAATTCTGCACTACAGAATTCAACAAATTCCTCTTCCTTCTTGTTCCCTTAAGAATACATTATCCTAGACCTCTAATATCTGCTTTGTCTACAAGGCCAAATGTGCTTTTTCAAGAGGCAACTGGACTTTCTGGTTTTTCGCTGAAGGCATTTCATTCTCATTTAAGAAGCTGAAGAAGCTTCTTGGATGAGAAGTAAAATGTCTTCAGAGAAAAACAAGGAAGTCCAGTAGCCTCTTGAAAAAGTACCTTTGGGACAACCATGACCTGGATGACTGAGAATCTCCACAGACATTTGTCTCCAAACCTATTTGCAACTACCTTAAGTCTCCTGAGAATTGCTGTGACACGTTTCTGAAGATTGTCCCATCGGTGATTACCCTCATAAACCATCTGCTTGAGCTTGTTAGCTGAATCAGTGCGATTCTCACGGGCCAACCGCCGATATTGCTTATTGATTAATTCCAGCTGGGTTAGTCGTTCATGAATTTGCCGCTGAAATGCCTGAGGAAAAAAAGTACTTTAATTTTTCCAAAAGATTTAAAATTAATGCATTCAAAATAATGAGGAGGAAAGTTGCTACCCAAGAAACGTGAAGAATTAAAATATAGGATATGTTGATATCACTATTTGGTAAATTTACCTAATTTACATCTATACACAAAGGTGGAAAAACTACAAAAGGAGTTCTTACTTCAAATTTCTTTAACTCTTCCTTGGCTGTTACATACAAAATCTCTGAAGAGTTGGGATAAGCTGCGGTTTTCTCTGCTGTTTTCAACCAAACTTCAAAACGAGAGTAATCTTCCAAAAACTTTTGCCATAGTCGCCAAGTTGCCTCAATCCTATTGCAGAAACAAGCAGCAACAGTTTATTTGCAAATATGCATCCCTTTCTGCAAGATGTTCTGCATCAAAATTCATTTATGTTTCAATCTAAACTGAACCAAACCAAATCCAATCCAATAAGCTACACTCAATTCAACTAAAAAAGTGCATTCAGAAATACTCCTAGCATTGGCATTGCTGATGTTATGAAATTGGCATCAAACAACCAAGCTCAGAGAACTGGATATCCTGCCCTGATATATTCTCTTCTATTAGCATTCAAAAATATCCTGAATCAAAAATATTTTAACTAAAATGTATTTTCTCCGGAATGGAAAAAGATATACGTGACCTGAAGTACTAAATTAAAATGATTCAAAAAGGTAATTTCTAAAGATTTGTTTCATGTTTTATAGAAAGTGCAGGGATGTGCATTTGCATGCATTCCATTCTATTTCCTCACAACTCAGTTGGCTATTTCCTCTTTTAATCCCAAATCCCAAGATTTGGAGTGTCAGGTTTGTAGACTGATATAACAATATAGTATTCAATCTTAACTATGAGCTCTTGGTTTGCATTCTGGCATTTTCTCAGAGATATATGCCAACACATCAAACACAGAAAAATGCATATACCAAATACATAATATAGTATATGTTCTGTGCCTGGAAAATCTGTATGTTGTAGCCTAGGTAAAGTATGTAAATTAATCAAATGTTAAATTTGTTATTTTGGAATAATATCAACTGTAGGCATTTCAAAATGTTTTAAATAATTTATTCTAGCTTTAGTTACCACAACTAGGAGCAAAGAGCTGAATAAACCATTGACATTTACATTTTCTCATCCCAGACAATAAATGTATTTAGTTTAGGGGTATTTAGGAACCAGAGCAATATCTCAGATAGAGATTTTCTCATCATTTCTTTTTATATGGAGAATGAAGCAGAGACCAATGAACATAAGGCGCTAAATTAATATTTCCTACCAGCAAATTGCTAATCTGTTCTTTCTTTCAAGAATAGATTTTTGGGCTTTTCATAGAAATTGTTTAACAAAATAACATGTTTGGGGGGTTGGTTTTTTTTTTTTTTTTTGAGAAAAAAGAGAAATAATGCCTCACTTCATCCGCCTCTCTATAGACATGGCACAGATGTTTCTCCACCGCCTTTCTAAGCTCCTTGTTGTCTGCTGGATTGAATCACATTCAGTCTCATTGGCACAGGCATCAGAATCATGCAGCAAGATCTCACATATATTGAAGACTGATTCCACACCTGCTGTGTGCTGTTCAATGTCCCTTTGCAGGTCCTACAACCATGAGCAAAAAGTCATCTCCAGTTGTAGTGTTAGTTTCGTACAACACAACAGAAGAAGCCACTGATACGTCACATGAAAGATCAAACATTCCATATACCCAAAGACTTTCCTAATGATTGCTACATATTAGTCATATGATTAATTGTGAGAGACTGTTGGTAAGAGATCAAATGAGTACATACACTTGTCAAATAAGAAGCTGCACATATAACCCAATAGTGGCAATCATTCTAAGTTTTCTCCTTAACATTATATTTTGGGAGGATTATTATGGAGGAACATTTAAACATTTAATTCCACTTTTAGGCTTGAAAAACCTTGAAACATAGCTATATAAACAAAGTTTTAACCTATATTAAAATATAGGATATTAAAATATTAAATTCTATCATCCTATGCATAGCTACTGCACTTCCCCCTTTGAATTTTTGTAGTTAAAAGCACTAATATACAAATAATATGTTTGAACAGACATCAGAGATATTCATTTTCAGACATTGAACTCTTGTCTGGAAACGTTAATCTTCTTATGCCTTAAAATTTTCACAGTCTTGGTAATACCTGCTACTATCAATCCTCCTTACATGCATATCCTTATTCATGGAACCACCTATATAATTTTCTTGACAACATACAAATGATTTGCAGTTGTTTGTATTCAATCATATAGTAAGAAGTCATCTAGCCTAGACTGTAAGGTTTTCCTTTGAAACCCTTACTCTATCAATTAAATTAGAAGGCCACAGGGCAGATCCAATGCAACATAACATATCCAGGTATTCTGCTGGTCAAGATCCATTGAAAAGACTGCAGATTGCATGAATATAAGTATTTCTACAAAGCTTTTTTTCATTTAATGTTCAAGAAAACTTCTCAATAGATTCTCCTATTTCTTTCTGATTAGCTCTATATTATAGAGATAAGTTAGGAGCTGATCACAGCAATTCATGATTCAGACACTTAAAGCATTCAATGGAAACTTCAAATTGGACACTTTTAAATTATTAATAGGCATTCCAAGTAAAGCGATTGGTTTTCTGAACTACATGAAAAGATATGCTATATGAAACTAATAGAATGATCTAACTCAACATTGTGCAAGTTACAGCAAACATACACCTCTAAAGTTTACAAGCAAGGCATAAAAACAGCAGCATTTCTAGTTGTTTGTTCTGCATTTGTTCTTTAATAAACTATGTCTAAAATTTAGAGATTCTACTTTAGTATTTTGTGCTAGATATACTGATAGACACTATCCCCCATGAGATTCAGTAATTTTGTATGTGTGTCTACATTGGGGTGTATACTGAGTCTGTAGGCAATTCCCAGTGCTATAATATATCACTTCACTACAACTAAAGTCAATGCCTCAATTTGAGCTGCTAACAAAGCTATAAATAATTGGAAATATTATTTTGACAGGAGAGATGAATCAAAGAAATATGTCTCTGAAAGACCACAGCTGGAAAATGCAATGGAAATCACAATTTGAAGAGAAAATAATTAGAAAAGCTTTGTAAAACCAGCCCAGATTGAGAAGTATTAAGGAAGTTAAATAAAGAGTTAGATTTATTGGAAATGGTAGAACTTCAGCAGAAGATAAAATATATCCAAAAATTTACTTTGTAAATGCAAACAAATCAGGTAAACTTCTGGGTTATCAAATTAGAAAAGAGAAAAAAAAAGATGCTTGGAACAACAGAGAAAGAAAAATTATTACAGTCCATACAAGAAAAAAAAGAATTAAAAAAGATTTAAGGAATTGCATTCTTGATAAAAAATTGACAAAGGAAATTTAGAAACATATATTTCAAAGCCTAAAATTTTACATAAGAACATAGAGAAATCTCATGGAAATTAATAACAATTTAAGAGATTAAAGAAGCAATAAGAAAATTAATAAAGCACCAGCACAGTATAAAAATGTACAAGAGAATTGAGTAGAACCATTATTGAAGAGGATGCATGAAATTCAAATAAAAACAATACCAAAGACTTGGGAAGAGGAATAGAAGAGAGTGATCTCAGGAACTCTAATTGGCCCAACTCTTTCAGTTCTACTTTTCTCCACCCTACCTGCTGCTCTGCGAGTCTCCTCTGTATTTCTTGATCATCACAGATGTCATAAACAATAGGTTTAGAAAGCTCAGATTCAATGCGTGCCAACCATGTGTGAAGATGACTCATATTTTTGTCCAGCTGTTGTATGAAAGCAAAGGTATCTTTCAACTTCTTCACTCTGGAATGAGGAAAGGATACATAATCAAGACAAGCATAAAGCATGCAAGAGAGGGTGTCTGTGTGTATGCGTGCATAGTTGTGGCATGTCACTTTTCATTTAATTGAATTTCAATAGACATCAAGCTTTGAATTCAATGCAGTAACTTACCCCAAGCTGCTACCTTAAAGGTATTTTGGAGTATTACTTCAGTCATCCCAACCAACATTTGGAGAAAGCTGAAGTTCAATCTAATCAGGTTGGGGGAAGTAACTATGCAATTGAATTACTACTTGACTGCTGACACTCCTTTAGAACAAAAGAGAACTATATGACTCAAAAGAGCTGTACAGTTCTTGGGAACAGCTATTTGGACAAATATATTAATTTCTAAATCAACTGCCACTTTAGCATAGAAGTGTTTATCTCAAAAGTACTGTCTTACACCTGACAGAGACAGCCAATTTGCTTCCAATATGAGTTTTAAAAATCTTCAGTTTGCAGCAAAATTCTAGGCTGAAATAGGATCCCGGATACTGATCACATATCTTGATATCCCTAAATAATTAAGCTGATGGAGGCATCTATTAGTCTCCTTCTCCTCCTCCTTCTCTGCAACTTTTCCAATTTCCCTAAATCTGTTAAAAGTGATATTCCCAGAGCCATATTCTTTTCTTCCCCTATATCAGTTGTATGCATCTTTCAAAATCTGTTCCATGTGATTGCAAATTTTCCTGAGAAGTTTCTGGAGAGACACAGAGAATGGCAGAGAAAAGAGAAACTTCTACCAGGCAACTTGAATGCTCATGACAGAATGAATTTTGCTTTGAAAATCTTTTTATTTTAATGGGTTGGTTTTAAAAGTCCAGCAAAATGCACGCTTATATTTCAATCTAAATACCCTTCTGAATAGTGGGGTTGATATGTTACTCAAATTTGATAAATCTCCTGAGCAATTAGAGAATACAGGTAGTCCTTGACTTATAACCACAATTGAGTCCCACATTTACTAAGTGAGAAATTCATTACATTTTGCCCCATTTTACAACTTTTCTTGCCACATTTGTTAAGTGGTATCTCTGGACAACTGCATAACTGGATAGAAGCATTCCTGTCAAACAGACAACAAATGGTCAAAATTGGGAGCATCCTATCAAATTCTGTATCTGTCAATAGTGGTGCCCCCCAAGGCAGTGTTCTAGAACCAACTCTCTTCATACTCTACATAAATGACCTCTGTGATCATATCAAGAGCAACTGCGTTCTTTTCGCTGATGAGGTAAAGCTGTTCAATACCACAGACAATACTGCTACCCTTCAAAAAGATCTTGACTATGTATCAGAATGGTCAAATAAATGGCAACTTCAGATCTCAAAAAACAAATGCTCTGTCTTACATATTGGCAAAAAAAATCCAAAAATAAAATACAAGCTGAATAGTCAAGATCTTGTTGATGATCCAAGCTCTGTAAAGGATCTTGGAATACTCACCTCTAATGATCTAAGTGCTAGAGCCCACCCCAACTACATAGCCAAAAAGGCATTAAGAGTCGTTAACCTAATCCTACGTAGCTTTTTCTCTGGTAATATCACACTACTAACTAGAACATACAAAACATTTGTTAGACCAATACACGAATACAGCTCATCAGTCTGGAACCCACATTACGTATCTGATATTAGCACAATTGAGAAAGTCCAGAAATATTTCACAAGAAGAGTTCTCCACTCCTCTACTTGTTGTAGAATACCTTATGCCACCAGACTTGAAATTCTAGAACTAGAAAACCTTGAATTACACCGTCTTTGGTCTGATTTAAGTATGGTATATAAAATCATACATTGCAATGTCCTACCTGTCAATGAATACTTCAGCTTCAACCGTAACAACACAAGAGCACACAATAGATACAAACTCAAGGTTAACCGCGCCAAACTTGATTGCAGGAAATACGACTTCAGCAACAGGGTGGTCAATGTCTGGAATACTCTACCTGACTCTGTAGTTTCTTCCCCAAACCCCCAAAACTTTAACCTTAGACTGTCTACTATTGACCTCACCCCTTTCCTAAGAGGTCTCTAGGGGACGTGCATAAGCACACCAACGTGCCTACCGTCCCTGTTCTATTGTTTCTTTTATTTTTCTTATATGTACCCATTTCATGTATTCATAACTATGTATACACTTATACTTATTATCTTGTAAACAATTGGCAAATCAAATAAATAAATAAATAATAAATAAATAAGTCAATCACGGAAATGGTTAAGATATTATTAAGTGAATTTGGCTTCCCAATTGACTTTGCTTGTCAGACAGTTGCAAAAAGTGATCACATGACCCCGGGACACTGCAACCGTCATAAATATGAACCAGTTGCCAAGCATCCAAATGTATATCACATGACCATGGGGATGCTGCAGTCATTAGAAGTGTCAAAAATAGTTGTAAATCTTTTTTTTCAGTGCTGTTGTTGAAGAAAATACAAAATAAGGTCAGGGGATCTGGAACATTTCAAAGCATCTGATGCCAATCTGATGAAGGCCAAGCTAGTATGTAAGGCAGGATTTTTTTTAAAAATGAAATAAATAAATATTCCAAATAGGAGAAAGATTTGGCACGTTTCCCCAGAGACATCGTGAGCAACATGCAACCACAAGCCTTTGTGCAAATAGATTCTACTTATGCCAGGTTCCATAGACAGAGCCAGCATTTGGGGTGGCTGGGTGGGGGATGCAGAACTGTCATGCTGTCAATTCATTCACTCATAACGGGCAGGTACTAATCTCTCTCGACAAGAATGAGGAAAGCAAAGGGTTGATTTCAACAAAGAGGGAGAAGACCCTGAATGTCACTTATTGGTTTGCAATTCTCTTCCTCCCCCTGCCACCCTTTGTCCAATCCTCCCTCCACGGACCACACACACGCACCACACACACACACATGCACCACACACACATCGCCATCCATTCTGACAAGAGCTGGGCCCATCCCCCAAGACTGCTGCAGCACACAGACCAGGCTTCTACCGCATCGTATAATTTTATTCTCACTAGACCCCTGACGACCAGAAATGCACTTACTGTTTATAAGGGAAAAGCATTCCTTCGCTTATCAGTCCAAAGCTGCAGGGACAGCATCTGACTGAGCCGAGCACTGGAGGAAGAGGAAACCCCTCCTCCTTGGATGCCCTATTTAATATCACTGCCTTAACATCTCTCCCACATAGAAAGAAAGAAGAGAGTTGTTGGGGGGGGGGGGGAGGAATCTCAGGCCTTCCCCTTTTCCTCCTTTGAGCCCTAACTAAAGAGAATGTAGTGCAGACATGCCCATACAAACACCTTTAGGTCCATGATGAACAATGCTGCTAAAAAACAAATGCTATTTTTCTTCTGATTTTGGTATCTGTTCAACAATATCAGATTCAAACCAAAAGCTGGCTTGAAACAGCTAAAGTGCAAAAAAGAAAAGAAAAAGGAACCAACTATTGCTCTTGAAAAAAAAAAGAATATTCCATTTTTTACTTGCAGGTGATTCGTTTGCAGGACCATAATGCTCAGTGTGAAAATGCTACTCAAATGACAGACATCTTCTAAACACCTTCCCTTCCCGCTCTATTACATAGCATAATTTATGTGTCCTAGACTACAATTTCACATGATCATTATATTGCTCCATTCCCTGTCATAGACACCAAATGTGAGGGTGGAGAATATTAGATTTTGACATTAAGATTTGGGTAATCATGACAGTTTATTCGTTTATTTTACTGGAAGCATCTGGATTCTGTACAAGAAAACATTTAAAAACATTACAAGTGGTAAAAGAGAAGATGAGAATCATAGGAAACTAAAACCACAACTGCATAAAATCAAAAGAAACACTACTGAAGAAAATCATTACAAATACAATATAATAATTTTGCAATATAAAATCTTAGACAAAACAAGATTTTGAAATTAATGATATTAGAATTAAGATTAAAGAAAAGTGGTTTTTACTTAGCACTGTATTGAAAATAGTATAATGTAGGTGCCAGTGGACTTCTCAAGGCACAGAAAGAGGGATGTAGGAAACAATGGAATCAGGATGTCCCCATCTAAAAGATAATTTGTTAGTATCCCTGAGATGATCTGAAGAGTTCTGTGGGTAGGTAATGTACAGCTACAGATGTGACTTAGTTGTCACAGCGAACCAGGTAAACAGCTAATTATATGCTACTTTGTAAATACAAAAGCAAGTATTTCCCTTTCTCCAAATAGAACCTGATGAATGAGAATAATGCTACTTTGGCAAAGCAATCGTATATACATTACTACATAGATGATACTGCAGTACTGATAATAGAGTTATAGGTAGTCCTTTACTTATGACTTATGACTATTATTTGAAGGTACAATAGTCCTACAATAGATCTACTTACGACCTGTTCATATGATCATATTTCAGGCAGTTGGCAACCAGCTCCCCTTTATAGCCATTTGTAGCATCCTGCATTCACATGCTCATGATTTGCAACATGTTTTTTGGGGCCAGTGTTTACTTCCGGTTTCTGGCATTTGGGGGAAATGGATTAACAAATTTGTTGTTTGCTTAATGACCATCATTAAAAGAGATGTAATTTCAAATCCGGTCATGTGATGCCTTGACTTATGACCACAATGACTATAGTTATAATTGTAAATTGAGGACTACTTGCACTGATTGATTCTGAATCCTCAAGGATAGATGTGGGCCTAACATGGGGGAGAGTTTTGCAAGTCTAAACAAGCACCTTTATCCCTTGTCCCCACAGGATATCAAGGCAGAATTTTAAGGGTTTTTTTTTAATTTATTTTTACTTTGTCCTAATTTGGAAGATTCTAGTGGCTGCAGGAGGTGGGCTAATAGGCTGCATGCGGGCTACGTTTGGCTTCTCTGGTTAAAAAGGTAAACTGAGTAATGTAAAACATGACTCATAATTTATATACTTAATATCTATCATTTTTATTTTTCCTTAATGAAAAAATGAAAGCATGTTGTGGGAGCCTGTTAAAACTCTATATTTCAAATTGAACATTTTAAAAAAGTCTAATGAGAGGGATATCATAAAATACAACTTTGTTTAATTTATATCATTCTATGAAAAGTCTAATGAGAGGGATATCATTAAATACAACTTTGTTTAATTTATATCTTTCTATGAAAAGATATTTCAGAATGTATCCAATTTTCCAATTTCCAAGTCTCATTATTTTTGATAATCTATAAACAACAAAAGAGATTGAACATTTTATGAAGGGAAAAAAAACCAAGTTAATTTAAGAGAGTAAGGACACAGCATGATGCCATTTCTAATAGTCCAAAACATTCCATCGAAAAAGGAGACATCAACATAATGTTGCCTATTTGTTAATTTGCTTTAAGCAAACCCTTTTAGGAGCAGACATATCCACTGAACTTTCATTCTTCAGAGCTGGGTGAGACTATTCCTTCAGTTTTCCAAAAATTAATTCTTTAAACTGAAATGATGTCATAGACAAGAGTTTTCCACAAGAAAAAGAACGGCTACATGTCTGGAACTTGGAACACCTCAGTATAAAATGCTTCCTGTTTAGAACATTAAGCTCTGAAAAACTGCCAGGCCACTCTTGGAATGCCTGGACAGATATGATCTGGAGGACAAACCTTAACATTCCTGAATTGCACAAAATAATGTGTCCTTGAAACACAGTTATTGCACATCCCGTTTTAGGATGGTTAGGTTTGCTTTATGGAAAAGATCTGTCTTTATACTGCCCTCAACAGTATCACAAATCAGTTCCTTTATTTGTTACATGGGAAAGCAGCCAAAGAATCTTGTTAATAATGTCTATAAAATTCTATAAAGCTTTGTGCAATGACAGAATTACACAACTACAGTTTTTTGACTAAAAATACATTGGCAGCATGTATCTTATTTTGAGAATTTAATCTTGAATTTGTCTTTTAGATTGAATGGCACACCTGCAGTTTATACAGGATTTCAACTGCTTGTATTAGCAAAAACATTCTATAAAATAAGACCAAGAATATAGAGGCCTTGAGGCAACAGACTGCATGGAACAGACCAAATTCCACCATGACTTAATTCATTTGTGTAATGACAGTATTACGTAAATGATATCATTTGCATCAATTTACATCATTTACTCAATGATATCATTATGCAAATGACTTAATTTATATCATTTGTGTATTTATGTTACCACACAAACAGCATAAAATGGTGTGAATTGCAAAAATACTTCAATGGTATACTCCTTGATTTCATGTAATACCAGGAATAATGGATAGTTCTCATTCAGCATTTGGTTCATTATATCCTTTATATTTTTATACAACAATATCTCTATATAATATAGTTCACACAGTATTACAAACACATAAAATACTTCTGTGCTCCAAGGACTTCTAGATGCCATAAGTATGGGATCAAAGAAAGAGGAAGGAATGAAAGACAAAATAATTAACAAAATAATGCAGAGCAGTAAAAGCATTTTAAAGTCCTATCAGGGACGGAGAATTAAATTTGCATCTCTTTGATGTATTGGGACCACATATATTATTTCATTTCAGCACCCTGGTAGGGGAAAGCTCCACTCTGATCTAAAGAACACAGAAATATATTGTGGAGGGGGGGGCAGGGGGCGCGGGGGGGGGAGGATAGGGAACGCAACCTCCAAATGAGGAATTGTGCTTTTTAATTTTTAAGGCTTCTTCCCCATGTTTCAAACTATTTCCAATGTTGCTACAGGAAACAGCGCAAGAAGTTCCACAAAATGTTCATGTATCAAAATGAAAACAAATGTCTCTATGTTATTAATTTGTTCTCCTGTTGTTCATAGACACACTAAATTCCCCAAACTGCTCCTGGTTAGATACACATCCTTTTCCAGCTGCTTTTCCAGCTGCTTCTCTGCACAAAGCAAGCCTTTGTGCATGGCAGAAGCCAAGCGTGCTTGGGCACTGTGGAAACATGACTAGGCCCCATGCAGCTAGAGCCTTATGGCAAAGCAAAGGATAAGAAGCACACCAAGAACCAAGTGAAAAGCCTGTCTAATTTGCCCATATGTCTCCAGCTGTTTATTGCTTTAAGGTGAAGCCACATCTTTAGTATAATGATCTGTTTTGACCAGTGGCTTCCAAGTTATTTTTGTTGCCATTAAACTGTTCCCCAGATGTATATGGCCTACACATTTGTTATAACTGATTTAAAACCAAAGCTTATTTGCACAAAACACATAGATCTTATGACCACCATTTAGTGAAATTTGGGCAATACTGTTTTAAAAAGAGGATATATTTGGACAAGATATCCTGTAAATTTGGATTATTGATTAATTCTTCTCCTCCATCACTGACTCGTCCCCCAAAGAAGAGCATAGGAGTAAATCCCAAAGGTGCTTTTTCAAAAGGCAACTAGATTTTGTTTTTCCTCAAAGACGTTTCTTCAGCTGAAATGAAGAAGCTTCTTGGAATGAGAAGTGAAATGTCTTCAAGGAAAAACAAAGTCTTGTTCCCTTTTGAAAAAGCATATTTAGGAAAACCATGACCTGGATGACTGAGAATTTCCATAGGCATAGGTGCAAATAACCGATCTTATTTATTTATTTATTTTAGATTTTGGGAAGCTCTCTTATTACTTGTGCTGGGAAGAATCCTTAAGACATTGTGGTAAGCTTTTTTAAAAAGCAGCACATCTTGGCTGTGCTGTTCTAGGAAGCAGTCGTAGGATAGGATCACAGGCTTCTGGGTGGGAGGAAGATTATGGTAGCTCTTTGTATCATCTAAATATGCTCAAATTGTTTGAAATTTGATGAATGTATAAATCTGTGCAAATGGAATAGTTTCCTGACATAAATTAATGGCAAAATAGAATGCACCTTTAATCCACCACAGGTTAACTTCATCCATCTTTTACAATAAATAAGTTTCCTTCTGCAATGTAGGATTAATGAAGCCATATTTGAATGTTATTCTTATCTGCCTATCCAAGTGCCCAAAATAATTGATTTCTCCAATCTCCCTCTCTAATAGTGAAGTAGTAATCTTTACGATACTATGCTTTTCCTAACACATAAATCAATGATAGGAAAAATGCATGCCCCAAAGTCTTAGTTCAGCAACATCTGTCTTATTCTTTCTCTTATTCTTCTTATTCTTATTCTTTCAGCTGAGGCTGAAACATAGGTCTCTTATTCTTTTCTTCATCCTTTGTCTCTTTTCTAAATTTCTGAAAACTCTGCAAATCTTACATGATTATTAGACAGTACCAATATTACAATATAATCCAAACATCTGAGTTATATTGCAGAAATGGAAAAGTAATTCTTGTATGCGTCAGAGGCAAATAACTTCTTGGGAAATAGAGCTACTAAAGTGTTGGACAGCGACTGCCAGTCAACAGACATACTTCTGAAGGAAATGTGATGTGTTCATCAGTTTGTCGCTTAGCTTATATTGAATATAAAGTAGCAGTTAACCAACCAATCATATCTTTATAAACAGGATGTTGGGGTAGCACATACTCACAAAACATAGATGAATTATCACCACGCATTACGATGTACAACCATATTGACTAAAATGTAATGCATAAATCAACTTTAAGGATTCTAACAGAATAATAGAATTGGAAGGGATGCTTGAGGTCTTCTACCCCCTGCTCAAGCAGGAATTTCTATACTATTTCAGACAAACTTCTACTCAAGTTGTTATTTCTTTCATAATTCTACTATGCTTGTATGCCAACTAATGAACACAGACTTACCGTCCTCCGATGATATCAAAGAGGTGTTGCCAGCGGTCATTAATTTTGTTGAGTTTCTCTTCAATTTCAGCCCCTCTACTTTGGTTGCTAGACTTGATCAGCTGATTGCCCATTTGCTTGAAGTGAACTAGTTGACTTTCATTAAATAGATTGATTTCCTCCATGTAATCCTAAACAAGAGAATTTTAAACTTTTAAAGTAACACACTTTGCATGAAATGGAAAAGGTAGAAACAAAAGTTAAGACTTCTACAGAGAGAAGTTTAAATGTAGGTTTCTACCATTCCAAAACCCAGAATAGTTGGTTATATTAAAAATACCGTAACCAGCTCCCTCTTATTTTATCTTTAGGCCTCAGCCACAAAGAAATGGATTGCATTTTTTTCTTCCACTTTGTTTATTAATGCTTCCCTTTCATGGGATGAAAATAAATATTCATTTAAAAAATGATGGTTTCTATTACCCTAGGCTAGGAAAACATTCCACTAGTTAAATGGGAAGGATGAGTCAATCTGCTGAGGAGGAGCTACCACAGAAATGGAGGGGTGAAGTTAACAGTCCTAGATCCTCTTCCAACCTGGTCCTGGACAAGCAAGCCATTGTTCCTTGAACCAAATCTTAAGAAGAAAAGTTCCATTATGTTTCTTTGCTGGCAAAAGATTCACATTTAATCCTCTGAACCCTACAGAGAATAGCTACAGGATAGGGTTCTTTCTCTCTGGCAACTAAAGCAAAAATGACACAAAACTGGACTGGAAGGAGGTCTCCTTAGCAAGTGAAGTCCCACAGGACACAATCCCCACCCCTGTTTTCAGCCTGTCTCAGCAGCTGGATGGAAAATGGAGGCACCTCTGTGACGCTAGGTCCTCTGAAAACATTAAGTGAAATCTCTTGGAGCATTGGCAAGAGATTCCCTTGAATCCTAAAGATGCTAGACAGACCAGGAAGGTGGGAAAAATATCCTGGAAGAAGTCAACTGTAAGCAACTTTCAAATGTTTGCCAAGGAAATTACATAGATATATCCTTGAAATTACCAGGAGCTCAGCTTGTCTCAAATAAGGCATTGCCTTAAATATTAAAAGAAGGCCAAAGAGACTTTGAGAATTGCCTTTAAATAATAGTTCTACCATCAGCCTACTGAGCACAGAAAAAGAAAGGGAGCCTAAGCATGACATTACCTCTGTTGATAAGTTGCCTTTGGCCTTCTAGCTACTGCAAACAAACAGCTGACCCTTCCATTATTTTTTCCCAGATGACTGTTACACAAAGTTGAAGAAAAAATATTTAAGCCTACATTTTATCTTCTTCCTCCATCTCCCTTTTTCCTTGTGTACCACAGCTTTTCAATTTTACACTTAAGATCTGGGACTCTCATATTATAAGTTTTGTAAGTTTCAGAGAGCTTTTCTTAAAAATAAATGTTAAGTATCAATTTAAATAATTTAAAGATAATCAGCACAGAAGACTAAGAGTTTATTTATTTTGCAGTTATATGAAAAGCAGAAGATTGTCAAATTGTTTTAAGGTAGTTCTTATTGATGTCTCCTGAAACTTCATTATGGCCAGCATACCTAAGCAAGAATAAACTTCTGTGTACATCAATAAAGTTTACTCACCTTTTGCAGCTTGTCTATCATGTCTTCAATACTGATATCTGCTGACTGAGGGACTTTTTCTTCCATCTGCATCAGCCAAGTACACAGCTCCTTATTTTTTTCATTGAACACAATCCAGGCATTGAGTTGTTCCTCGATATCTTGCTTGTGCAGAGAAACCTATGAAGGTAGATATAGATGACATTAGTTACATCTCATTAATTAAATTAATTAAATTTAATCTTCATTAAATTTTGGGAGGAGCCAAAGTTTACCAATGCAATCCATGAGCAGGTAAAAAGAATATTTTTTCCTTGCAGATTTCACTGCAAAATCCAATAACATTCTCAAACAATTCCTTCACTTACAAATAATATTTCACGGGAGGGCAGAGCTGGCGTCGCAATGATACGGCATGCGATCTTGGAGGTCTGAGATCGCAGCTGATATCTTTGCTCCTGGATGGTCCAAGTAGATCTAAACCGTCCCAAAGAGATGGTGAATATAAAGAGCGCATCCTGTCGATCCCAGGGATACTGTAAAGTCCCTGGTAGATCCAGGAGAAGCTCTTTTTGCCAGCGGCAAAGAGGCAGCCATTAAAGCTGCTGAAGTTGGAACAGCTCCAAAACGAAAGAGAACGAAAAGATAAAGTGTGCCGGTTTGGTGAGAACGTTTTCTTTATTTTAAGATTTGAGAGGACACCCTAAGGGAAAGAAAGAAAGAATCTATAAAAAATGAAAGAAAGAAAAAATGGGTAATTATATCAAACTTAAACAACAGATAGCGCTAGATCTGGCAAAATGGGAAAATTTACAACTGTCACTAATAGGGAGAATTTCAATAATTGAGATGAATATATTACCCAGAATTTTATATTTGTTTCAAACAATTCCAATTAGGCTTGGAAAAGATTACTTTGAAGATTTAAATAAAATTGTGTTAAAATATATATGGCAAGGTAAGAAAGTGAGAATAAAGTTAAAACTTTTGCAAGATGCTAGAATTAGAGGAGAATTTGGTTTGCCTAATTGGGAGTTGTATTATCAAGCTACAAATCTGATGTGGGTTAAGGAATGGATAACACTAAGAAATACTAGATTGTTGACATTAGAAGGACATGATTTGTTGTTGGGGTGGCATGCTTTTTGATGGTATAAAGGAATTAAAACACAGGGGTATTTTAGAAGACATTATATACGGGAGTCTCTGTGGTTAAACTGGGAAAAGATTAAAAGACAATGTTATTTGAAAATTCCACTCTGGCTATCGACTATTGAAGCATTTTCTTATCCTATAATATACAAAAAGGAACAAACAGTTAGATATGGTGAAATATTGAATGAAAAGGATGAACTCAAATCTATACAAAAACTAGAGGAACAAGATATAAAGATGAATTGGTTTTCATATGTGCAAATACATTCAAGGTATGATAAAGATTCTAAAATAGGTTTCTATGATAAATTGACTGATTTAGATAAGATTTTGACAGGTACTGATGAAAAGGTGATTAAAAAATTGTATGGATATTTATTAGAAACTAAATTAGAAGAAGGACAAGTTAAAGAAACTATGATTGCTTGGGGGAAGAATTTTGGATATGGGATTGATTTAGAGAAATGGCAAAAATTGTGGTCTCAAAATTATAAAATGACAATGTCAACTGCATATAAAGAAAATTTGTATAAGATGTTTTACAGGTGGCATTTTCCCCCGACAATAGCAAGAATGTTCGAGAATAAATCCAAAAAATGTTGGAAATGTCATCAAACACCTGGCTCATATTACCATATGTGGTGGACTTGTGCGGATGCTAAAAGATACTGGACCAAAATCCACATGTGGTTGGAAAAAATGACAAAAAAAACATATAGACTTGAAACCAGAGATATTTTTATTGAGAATTTTACCTGAAATATATAGTAAAGACTTGAAATATCTGATTGTAAATGTATTAACAGCGGCTAGGATTGTATTTGCTAAAAATTGGAAAAATGCGAAAACACCATCACAGGAGGAAATCATTAAGAAAATTTTGGAATGTGCTGAAATGAGTAGATTGACATTTAAAATTAGAGAACAAGAGGATAAACAATTTTATAAAATTTGGGATCTACTCTATCAATGGTTGGGCAACAAAATACAGTAATGAAATAGACTTTGTAGACTTTTAGAAAATAATAAATATATAAAGATGTACTTTTTTCTTATTATATCTACAAAATGATTTTAGGATAGATTTGGGGTGATAAAATGAACTGTTATAAACCAAACTGAGTAAATTATGATTATCTTTTAAAACATGAATGAATAAAAGCATAGTCAAATGACTGATTAATAATGATACTAAGGTATTTAATTTTTGATTGAAAATACGAGATTATATACAATGTAATTGTAATTGAAGACTACGAAATGGAAGCACAAAACAATTTGTAAACCAACCGGCACTCTGTATGAACATATATGGAAGATGATTTGATGTTTTTATGTTTTGTTTGTTTATGTCTGTTTTAAAAACCAATAATAATAATAATACTAGTAATAAATATTTTCCCCCATTTTGGGGGAGTGATGGAAACATTTTTGATATAACAAAGAAATGTAAAGCCTATCCAGAAAATACCAGATCATCTCACTTGTCAGTCCATTTAAGTGGCAAAATTGAGCACTATGCCTATGCATGAGAGACATATTTGAGTTAAGTAGATGGAATGATAACACATCTTATGTTCAAACATAATGTTATCCTGAATTTTAAAAGATATTAGTATCTGAATAAGACACTGTAATGTGCTTCATGTGGGACATTAAGCAAAACAGGGCAAGTTCATATATTATATCAGCTCATAGAGCCGTGGTGGCGCAGTAGTTAGAGTGCAGTACTGCAGGCTAACTTACTGCTCACTCCAGGAGTTAGATTCTGAGAATGTTCTGAGATCAGTAAAATGATAACTCAGATTGTTGGGGGCAATATGCTGACTCTGTAAACCAGTGGCCCCCAACCTTTTTTGTGCCACGGCCCGGTACCGGCATCACAAAATGATCCGCGGCCCGGTACCAGCATCAGCACGCATGACAAGGCAAGCCAAGCCAAGCAACCGGCCAGCCAGCCATCCCTCACTTCTCCCCGCCACCTTCAACTCCTCCTTTGTACCTTTGTCGATGGGCTTCTCTTTGGGACGGCTTCAGGACGGTCGCTCAGCTCACCTTGCCTTGGGTGCTGAAAGAATCCTCGCACCTTAGTTTCGTTCGAAGCCCCCCCCCTTCGATGAAACTAAGGCGCGAGGATTCCTTCAGGACCCAAACACCGCTTTCCAACCAGAAAAGCTCACCCGGAAGCACTTTCTCGTCAAACAAGATGGTGGCGCCCAGCAAACCGGCGGCCCAGTAGGAAATGTTCCATGGACCAGTACCGGTCCGCGGCCCGGTGGTTGGGGACCCCTGCTGTAAACCCTCTACCACTTAGATCTAAAGCACTGTGAAGTGGTATATAAGTCTAAGTGCTATTGCTATATCATGGTAATCCAAAAATATATGCCTTAATATTATGTATGAGGAAGGCCATAAAAACATGCAGCCTTGTGCTTACTCTGGTATAAATTTCAGATAGCTAACAGACAAGCTATATTACATACATAGCTATATTTATTACGATCACTGTGAAAGACAACGTATGTTAAGGTATGTTAAAAGAGCCTCAATCTGCTTTTACTTTGCATCTTCTCAGCATTCAGGAATGTAGGATCATTTCTACAATGCTGTGGATTCTGCAGTAAAGTCTTATGAGGCCTTGTCAATTTGAATTACAGGTAGTCCTTGACTTACAACCACAATTGAGCCCCAAATTTCTGTTCTGTTCAGTTAAGTTAGTTTTACGACTTTTCTTGACACAGTTGTTAGGTGAGTCACTGCACTTGTTAAGTTAGTAGCAGGGTTGTTAAGACAATCTGGCTTCCCCATTGACTTTGATTGTCAGAAGGGCACAAAAGGTGATCACAAGATCCTAGGACACTGCAGCCATCATAAATATGGGTCAGTTGCCAAATGTCTGGATTTTGATCACATGACTACGGGGATACAGAAACAGTTATAATGTGAAAAATGGTCATGAGTCACTTTTTCCCGTGCCATTGTAACTTTGAACGGTCGCTAAAAAAACCTGTTGTAAGTCAAGAACTGCCTTCATCTTGATATTTCTAAAGTGCTCAATAACTCAGCAATGTAAATCAATATAAAATAAAATATAAAATATGATCAATATTAATAATAATGATAGAAATAACAATGATGATTGTCATCAGCAGATAAAGTTAACTTCTTTTAAGCTTTCTGGATAAGTTGAAGGGCACTATATTTCCGGAGTAACAGATTTGGCATTTGCATCTCTATAAGTTAGCAAGCGTATGAAAAATTTGCATTCATTTTAAATAGTCTTTTGTCTGATATGCTCCTCTGTGCTCCTTCCCTACTGTGTTGGCATGCCAAAACCCTGCCCTTGATATTCCCCGCCTCCTTGCTCCAGACAGCCCATCTGCTGTTTGTTTTCCTCTTTCTTTCAGCAGGAGCATCTGGCTGGTTAATTCTGAGGGGCTCTTCGGCAGCTGCACTGCCTCGCTTTGAACATGGGCAATGGGTTGGGCTTTTCCATTAATTGTTTTCAAACAATATGCTTTTGTTGGAGATTTCGTTTTAGGGTTAGAGATATTGGTAGGAAAGAAAATGGGGCATGCTAATTATTCATTTTTTAAACTTAAGATGAGAGGTTAGTGCAGTTTTTTAATATTTTATTGTGTCTTGGTTTTCAGAATAACAGACACATCACAATATAAATTTGGGAATCAGACTAAGATTCTAACTTTTACAATTTATTCACTGAATATTCATGCAGCAGGCTAAGCTATAATTAGTTCTAAGTATGATCACCAAGCTACCCATATCCCACAGATGAGAGGGTTAACTACTGGCAGATGGCTTTATACAACATGTAGAGTCTAATATCATGCTGGATTATGATTAAGATAAACTAAATTGTAACATCACATGGTTACTGATTATAAAGTCCTTCCTCCTTAACTATATAATCAGATCCCTGATTTGAAAAGTCACATTAAGCAAAACCACCTGTCGGACAATATATGAATCCAAATGATGGCATTGTTTAGTTTAACTACCGCAAAAGCAGACCTTATCTGGCTTGGGCCAATAATAATTTCTCACTTCTGAACCAATTTCCTAGATAGTGGGCAAAAAGACAACATATATTTAGTCTAGAATCTAAAACAAAAATGGTAAAGGAGAAATATCAACAAATAAGGTTAGATTCAAAATGGTTAAAATGTAAACACATTAAAGTTAGTTAACTGTTCATGTTAGGCTTGGATATGAGAAAGGAACCTAGAAAGAATTAACTGATCCCAGTTAAACATGTATTATGATTGTAGCCATGCAGTTAAATCCAGCATGCTTATTCAAAGTAAGACCTACTGCAAGTTTGTCTCAAGATATTAAAATGTTAAAAAGCAATAAGACAATAAAATAGCAATACTAGCAGCAAGTAGACACTGCTGAGGAGGGAATTCCACCAATGGGATCTCATTGCCTCAGATGAGAACTTGGGGGTGATTTCTGAAAATTACTGTGTAGCATTGCATTCCTGAGCTTCCGTAACACACAGTTGTGAGGTGCATAAGATTTAAGAATAATGAGTAATGGAAGAAAATGTGTGATCATTCTCAATGTTTGAAACCTCCATCTACAACATATAGAACAAAGTCAGGTCTGAGAAATTTGAAAGAGAGGCACCTTTAAAAAATGTAGAAAACTATGCAGTGAAAAATATAAGGACTAATCATCTACTTTGCCCTTCTCTTATGGATCATTTCAGATCACTGAAAGATAGTCAGTATTGCTGATAGTCAGTATTGCTGATCTACTTCTAGGACACCATATCTTTCAGTCAGAACTTTTTCTTAAGTTCTCTGTTGCTCAAAACTTTCAGAACTTGGAGAGCACTGTGGTCACAAGCAGGTTTTTTTTGTTCATGGCAAAAAAAAAAAAAAGCTACAGTTTTGTTTAGAAAACCTCAGGGCTTTAAATCCTTCAAGCTTATCTTGTGTTCCTTTACACAAAACTGAAGAGTCATATTCACATTGCCTTGCAATGCCCAATCTCAAAAATCAGCATGTCCAAATAAACTACTTACTCTGAGGCAGAGTTCTTCCCACTGGCTGTGTAAAAGTTCAGTTTGTTCTCTCAACACCATCACATCTTCTGGGAGGATAAATTGAGCCAGTTTCACCTTTTGTGCATCAAGTTCTTTTGCATTTTGGCTCCAGTTGGTGAGTGCTTTCTCCAGCACCTGCATGGAAACACCAAGAGGAAAACAACGGCCCTTTCAGAGCCAGTTCCTGGGGTGGTGGTGGGTGAGCATGTGGGAAGTTGGGGGGGGGTCGAGCATGCCTGCCTCTGCATTCTTTTAATCTTGTGATTGGTCTGTACAAGAGGGAAGGGAAAGGAGGACAGCAATTTGTGTGTGTGTGTGAGAGAGAGAGAGCGCGAGAGAGAGCAGGACCTTTTGTATTGGGATCTTGCTTTTTTTTTGTTGGTTGCCACTTAAAATTAAGGCAACTGGAGAGAAGAGGAAATGGGTCATTTTCAAATATTAAGCACACAAAGAGTTTTCCTGAATTCCTCCTCAAACTCTTAAAATTGTATAGTGTTATAAAACTTTACTTAAGATGCAGCATGACATCTGTGAGACTATTTTTTCTTTCCTTCCAGAAGAAATTTAATAAAGTTACTCTTCTAGCATTTAAAAAATGAGAGAGTTTGTTTACTTGGAATAACATTTACTGGGATCAATAGTGCTTATTACCCAATCAAAAGTGACTAAGTCAAAAAAAGGCCAGGGTAAAATAATTTGAAATACAGTCAGTTGAATTCATGGGGATTAATTTCCAAACAAATCTAGTTACCTAGATAGTTGCACAATTACTTTTGCACTGCTGCTGACTGAGTCTCATTTCACATAATTAACTAACACCAAAATGAACAACATGCAGCATTTGACTGAGTAGCAACTTCAAAGGTTTCTTGTCAAATTTTTAAAAAGTGCTATGTCACTTTCATTATTTTTCAATTAATAGTAGTAATTGCAGGTAAACAGGATCCAGAAATCTCAGTGGAACCAGACAACCTCATCTTCTTTGTTCAATATATCTTTGTTCAATCCATCAGCTTGTTTCTGAGCTGAAGAACTGTATCTTCTCTTCAATTTGGAGACAAGGCCTCTGTTACTCCCCCATTAATTTCAGAACTGTTCCATTTGCACCAATCCATCATTCTAATCAAATTTAGAACTTGTTTTAGAACATCAAGAATTGTTGTGCACGTATATCTTGAATTCTAGTGTGAAAAATATTAAAACTGATGTTCCTCAAACTGTTCCAGATCTTGGCTTTCATAGACATACCTTTACTTGTTCCAAGGTTGCTGGCAATGCATCATGTTCTATAGGAAGAGGTTTGTTTATGCTTCCTTTGAGCTCCAGCAAAACATGACCCAGATCCTTCACTTGGCTTTCACAGTTCTCCCAGGTCTGTAATTTCAAAGAAGAAAAATGAGTTCATGATGAGCAATAAATATTGCTCAATAGGTAGAAGCTTTACTGCTATCAGATAACCTCCAATACATTTTGGATTCTCCTTTTAACACAGAGGAAGAAAAATAGTATCCACAAAGATTATTTTTTTTGCCTCTTATTATCTGCTTATAGCTAATGTATGCATTTTGATCTTCTCATAATTTTTGCACTGATTCGCAAATATGCTATTATTTGAGATTTCTGTTAGAAAAATCTTCATAATGAAAGAGAATTTTATAGTAGAACTAATTATCAAGATAGGTATGCAACTGCCTTTCACTGAATGTGTGCAAGTAAATCCTAGATATCCAAATGCATTTATTTGGATATCTATGCACAGCAAGTGGCAAACTCGTGGGCTTCAATGGTTCCTTCCAGTCCTATGATCTTAAGAATGAGCAAAACAACCAGAGCAATTTGGATGCAGAACTTCTTTTTGCCTCAAAAGCAAATGATACTTAAGCACCAGACTAGCATTAGCTAGACACAATAGCAATGCTCTGGGTAATTTAATCTAGCAGTATTTTTCTGCAATCACAGATGATTTTTGAAAGAATCATTAATTAGGCATTTACTGTACTGCAGTTATAAATTAAAACAGGACCGCACAATCCTAGACAAAAATTATACAGAATAAAATTCACATTTAAATAAAAAAATTAAATCCCCAACAAATCTATCACCTTAACTCTGCCCTATAGAAAAATACTCCCCAAATAATAACTGTAATAGCAAATGTATAAGAAGCTTCAGAACACAATTAAATATTAAAGCATTTTCTATATATTCAAAAGAGCCTACATTCAGTCTCTAGCAGCAGTAAATCCAAGAATTTGGTAGCAAGAGATAGAAACAAGCCCTGAGATTTTCGGGATTGGATTGGTACATGAACTGCAGTAAGTAAATAAACAAAACAACCTTCCAAAAATGGCAAATTCACACAAACAGATGAACTCTAGACCTAATTGATTTATTATAGAATAAAGATAACTGGTTTCTGCAAGATACCTGTATGGTGTCCTGAAATTGCCTGGTAATCTTCTCCAGCTGAAATTGTGTGTTGTCCCAATTAACTCGCAACTTGTTCATCTCCAGCTGCATGGCAGCCTTTGCTTCAGGGGCTACCATGCCAAGTAACTTTTCCCCAGTTTCCAAGATTAAAGAATATCTGGTTTGCCACCTCTTTTGAAGTATTTTCTTATTCTACCAAGAAAGCAAATAAACCCAGATTGTTTGTTATTCATTGTTATGGTTAAAAGATTAGCAGGTAGGGTATTGAAAGGACACATAGAGAGATGCAAAAGAATATCTACACAACTATTTGAAAACAAATTCTCCTTAAGAATTACTGGAGTAATTTTAGTAGGAAATACGCCTTTCCATATTACTATAGATTTTACAGCACTACTGCCACTTCTGTTGTGTCCTGGGAAGCAAAAGTAATTAAAATATTTTTAAAAGGCAGTCCTTGGCCAAAAAAAGTTTAGCCACCTCTGGTTAGCATTATGCCTGAATGAAAGGCATACTGATACTCCCAGAAATCTATTATTATCACAATTCCACAGGAGGGAGAAAGAAGCTGAGATGGCAGCTGCTGATATAAGTTCTCTTATACTGGTATAGCCAAGTCTTTAAACCCGTGTCTAAGTATGTATTACCCCAAAAATGTATGATCCTGGGGACAAGAGATTCAATATATATAATATGCGATGACGAGCATGTGTCAGAAAAGCACCAGTTTCATTTTTTTAAAAAAAGAAATAGGTTTTTAACTAGTACACCACTTTAAATGAGAAAATTGTACTGAAGCTGCTTAAAATACAAAAAAAGAGAGACAACGATCAATTTGTTTTAAAAATATATCAATACACACGTGCTTTCTATGGTCAACAATATTAAAATGAAATTTCTAGGGTCAGTTCAGTAAATTTTTCCCCAACATTGGAATTATAAATAATTATAATTCAACATTAATAATTCAAATCCCAACATTGGAATTATTATTAATCTAATTTGAACCTAGAGTTTATACCAGAAAGAAATACAAGTGAGGTACATGAGTATGAAATGCAATGTCTGCATCATGAGGCCCTGCGCATAGTCACTCATACTCTGGTCATATCTCATTTGGAATATTACAATGCCCTCTACATGGGGCTACCCTTGAAGATTATTCAGAAGCTATAGTTGGTCCAGAATGGGGTGGTACATGTAACCCTACTGTTCCTGAAGCTGCACAGGCTGCCAATTTGCTTCCAGGTCAAATTCAAGATGCTGGTCATCCCCTTTATGGCATGAGTCCTGATTACCTAAAGAAGCATCTCACCATGATGGAATTGGCTCACTCTTCTCATTCTGGCAGAAGGGAGCAACTGTGGACTCCATCAGCCAAGAAATTTCAGCTGGTGAGGTCCAGGAGAAGAGCCTTTTCTGTCACAGCCTCCACTCTTTGGAACATCTTGCCGCTGGAGGTGAAATCTACCCCCACCCTTCTGGTCTTCAGGAACGGCCTTAAAATCTGGTTCTGCCAGTTGGCATGTGGTCCTGATGGAGAAGCTGTAAGTGGTTGGTGCAGTGACAGAGAAGGTACTACCACTGCTCTGCTCCAAATCCATGGTCTTTTCATCTGTATTTAATCTTTTGTAATTTTAATTTGTTTTTACATTGCTTTTATATCTCTGTTTTATTACATTATAAGCCACCCAGCGTTGCCTCGAATTGTGAGATGGGCAGCATGTTCATTTAACAAATAAATAAATAGAACTGAACTATGGGGCACATCTATCCAGGTTTACCTAATTTTCATTTTCCAGAAATATGCTAATGCAGTCTATTGTTGATTTCTCTGTATTATAGCGAGTGGGAAGCCTAACCTTGAATTTGTGATTCAGGTTCCTAATTTGATCCAAGCGATATTTCTCCTGGCTCTTCACAGCAGCTATGTAGCTGCTTGTGTCCATGAGGAATTTTGTGAGATCTTGCAGTAAGGTTGTGAATTTTTGCCACTGCTTTACAAGGCTGTCAATGTCAATCTTCTTCCGATGGGCCATCCGCATTGCACTCTGCCACTGCTCCTTCAGCAGAGTGAGCCTGGAGATAAACTCAGTTCTAAAGTAACCAGAGTGATATGTTAATACAGTATCATAAGCTACCATCACACTGTAGATATATGGCTTTGGATACAGGGTGCTATTTAGCAGGTACCCTATGTCACTTATAGGATTTAGCCAACCAGGGATGCTAAATCCTCTCCAGGTTGCTGAGCATTGTACTTCTGTATGCACAGATACGGACGCTGGAACTGTAAAAGTGTGTTACTAACATGCCCCCTTATACACAATAATAAAACTTACCTATTCTTAGAAACCTAGTTCTTTTATGGCCAACAGGTAACCATTCTTTATAACCAATTTTCAGAAGAAAGTTGCAAATTTTTTATCAATAGTTCTGGTTTGTAGAAGTTGTCTTATGTTCTTATCATGAACAGTTTCAGGCTTGCGTTTTTTATACATATACCCAGGCACACACAAAATCATGTATTTTTAGTTATTGGTTTTGGACTGTAAATAAACTGAACTGACTTTTTGATTTGTCAGCAGGAATGGAGACAGTGTTATTTTTAAAATATAAAATTTCAGGCATAGGCAGCCAAGTATCCTCCAGATGTTTTGGATTTCAGCTCCCATATGTACACTGGAGCTTATGAAATTTGTGTCCCATAGAAAAGCTGACTTTCCTACCCCATTATGATGAGGAAGAGATGTTGAAAGCCAAGTAACAATTATACTGATTTATAGAAATATCAGAAAGGGTCTGTCAGCTATTTTAAAATTCTGGGCATTGTAGCTCTTACAATCTGAAATGAACTATTTTGGGAAAGGCTGAATAAGTTTAATATGAATATATAGCATATGCAGAAGTGGAGACACTCATCCTAAAAGTTTAAATTCAGTGGGCCTGGCATCCAGGTAAGCAGGCAAAGGAAATTACAGACTTGAAACAATAGAAATTGTTATATAGAATAGTGCAGAACAACACTGATGAACAGAAGATGCTGGGTGGGCTCTGCAGTTCTCTGTTCCACCATGGGCATTAGTTGCACTGGATATTATTTAAGCCTAAGATCAGATCTGAGTTTCTGGCTTCGGCTTTGCCAATTGTTCCATATCCATTAATCTATACAGGTAACCCTCATATTTGAGCCTGGAATTATACTCATAAATCATGCCAGTTATTAAGTGGATCACAATATGACTATGCCCAATTTATGATTTTTTTTTGTGGTGATTGTTAAGTGAATCACTGTAATTATTAAGCAAATTTGATAAATAAATGAACCCATTGGGCAATGAGCACTGCCAGAAACAGGAAACAAATACTGGCTTTCTGTCAACAGCAGTTGTAAGTTGCATTCACATGACTTGCAGGACTCTGTAAACAGTTGTAAATGTGGGCTGGCCTCCAAGTGCACCAAATGCGATCATGTGACTGCAGGCAATCTAGGTCCTAAGTAGCCCCTGTGAAGTCCATGATAAAAATTTGAGTGATTGCTGAGCAACTGGTCATAAGTTGAGATCTGTACTGACAGCTTTAACTTTTCTAAAAATGATTATTGCTTGGGTTCACATCATTACTATTGAATGTCATAAAAACCAAGTTGTACACCATCAAGTCATATATTTTACCTGTTTTCTGCTTCTTCTGAGTCCAACATATTCAGAGCTTTTGACACAAGGCAACTGAAAATTTGCTGGTTAATGGAAATCTCTGTTTGTAATATCTGTAAGTAATTAATAACATTTAATCACTATTATAGTTCAATGAACTGAAAGAATATCAGCTGTGGCAAGAATGTGACTTTAAAGCTGACACTGAACCAAACTCCCAATTCTTCAAATCAAGGCCAAACATCTCGAAACATCACCTCATATTCTTTCTGCTGTTCTTGCAGCTTCTCAAGTGTAGCTGGCATGTTCTCTTTCAGACTCTCCTTCATTCTCTCTAGAAACTGCACCCAATTCTGACATTGCTGAAGAAAATTCTTGTCATCTGATTGATCCTTCTGCAGTTCACTGCAATTAAAAAAAAAAAAGAAATCAAATGAAAGGACTTCAGTACAGAGTTAGTTGGGAGTTAAATTAGGTATGGCTAACTTAAATCTTACAGGTTTCAATGTACTTGGTTTTTTTTTAATTCAAAGTTTTTCTATTTTTATTTTTTACACATCTCTTCACGTGAGCAACGTGATTCCAGATTACAATATTTATACATAGTTGTGCTGTCCAGCCAGTATATAGTTAATGGGAAGTGGGATACTTAGTTAGGAATTGGGAGCTGTCCCCTTCCGGGAATGCATCATGGTAAATGTAGTTAAGGTATCCTGGGAAATGTAATCCATGTCATGTGGCCACATCTGTAATCCTGATTGGTCACTGAATTGACCTTTGGTGGGTTGCGGGGGGGGTTCTCCACTCTTGGCTGGAACCCAGCAACATGCTGCTGTCTCAACCCCTTGTTCCTTCATTTTGGGGATGAAAGATTACCATCCTTTTACACCAGAAAGTCAGCTATGCAAAGAGTTGAACATTGAGATGAATCTCGATGTAACTGTAAGTTATATTGAGGATGCCTGATGAACCAATAAAAAGACTTTGTATGGATGCTTTGTAGAGTTATCTATCTGCCTTTATACATTCAGCCAGTAGAGGACAGAATAATAGTCATAGTTACATTTTCAACTTTCTTAATTCAGATCGTCTCAAATTATTATCCATTCAACTAATCTTCAGATAAATTTCCCTTTCATATTTCAATTCATTAATTCAATATCAAAATCATTTCATCCTTACATATATTTTCAATTCTTTATTCCCTATTATTTCCATTTTCAGCTTACTACCTATTTTATGTTACATTATGTATTGTTATCATAACTTTCTCAAAAATGAGTAAAAGTAAAGTAAGATTAATACATTTAGGATCCACATGGTATATCCCCCCCCCCATCTACGATATATCTTATATATATTCCAGAGATATTCATATAATCATTTCATATTTTTTCTTTGTTTCCACTAAGCCAAAAGTATAATGCATTCATTATATTTTACATTCCCACATAATCCCTTCTAGTTCATTATATTTTCTATTTTCTCATATCCTTTGTATAATCAATTACATTTTCTATTACATGTATACCACAAAGGAAAAAAATAAAAATAAAAACAAAGTTAATTTCCCCTTTTACTTCCCTTTAACCAATTTCAACCTATAGCATTTATATAACCCTAATTCACATTTTTTGAACATAATTAATACCAGATTTTCACCCAAATCATACTGTTTTCCTAATATCATTTAAATAGTCATTAGCATATTTTAGAATATATATATATATGTGTGTGTGTGTGTGTGTGTGTGTGTGTGTGTGTGTGTGAAAGGATTAGTAACAATAGAACCCTCTTAATATTGCTCACTCCTTCATTTTTCTCATCTATAATTATCTGATAATCTTAAAGTAATTCCCAGTAAGTTATAAATTCCCATGTCTACATTTCTAATAAAAAATACAAAGATATATTCCCACGTGGTATCCCCCTTTTATGCTATATCTAACCCTTATCTCTAAATCTCTCAGCCTTGTCGTTTCTCTTAGTTTTAGCCAGCTTTCCCTTTACTAAGTTTCCCTGGCCTTTGCTCTTTATCCCTCTTTTTTCCTCTAATATTACTTTTATTTCCATCTGCCAGTCCCCCATCTTTCCTCCCACCCTTTCCTTTTCTCTTTTTTGAAATTTCTTCTTATACAGCTTCTTCTTCTTTTGCTTACTCTTGGGAGCTTTTTCTTTTTTATTTATTATCTCTGTCATCAATGTCTTATTTTTAGTTCCTTTTATGTCTTTTGGCAATGTCTCTGAATCTTCATGTCCATCTTGGCTCTTCTTTTGGCTCCTCCTCTCTAGGATTCCTTTGTTCTGCTATAAATTACATTACTTTTTCTGCCAGTATGTCCAATAGTCCCCTTCTTTCTTTTAACATTTCTTTCACAGATTGCAGTTCCAACTTAAATTCTTTGCTTGCTTCTTCCAGTTTTTGAATCCATTGTGTTATTTTTTATTTTATTAAAGTTAATCGTAATCCTTGCCAAGAGACTCCATTTATTTCTCTTTTCCTTATTGGTCTTTCTATTTCCTTTGCACAGCTAGCCCCCAACAGTCCCAAGATATTGCCTTCATTTATCCTCTTGCTGCAATCTCTCTCTTTTTCTTTTAAGCTTCCAGGGTTCTTGTTCTGTTAAAATCTTTTATTTCATATCTTTTCTCATTCATGCATTTAAAAGACCAATAATTTTCCATAAAGTCATCCAGTCTTGTATCATTAGGTGGCACTCTATATTGCTTCCACTTTTCAAAGTTCTTTTTTTTTTCCTTTTTTCAATTATATTAAAGTTAATTTTTAACATTTTAAAAAATATAATCAATTCCAAGCAAGTTCAGCATTTTATCCAATGCCTAATTAATGCCAGATTCTATATATTATTCTCAATTCTGTCCTTAATTTTGTTATAGCTCTTTTGTAGTCCAGTTTTTATTTACCTTACATTGTCCTCTTGTTTTTCATTTGCCGCTGTTATACTCTCAAGCAAGGAATCTTTATTTCTGCTTTTCAGGGTTATTAAAACAAAAAGTTCAGCTTCTCTTATCTGGTTACACACCACTCACCACTTCACCGCTCCAGCACACACTTAAGTCCTGGTAGCTTCCTGTTTTCAGGGCAGCAATTAAAACTGCTGCTTCTTCCCCTGTCTTCCAGGGGAGTATACCAAGCCAGGGAGGGGAGATACAGCTCCCCTCAACCCAGCTGGCAGTCTCCCCTTCTTGTCCTACCCCTCTGAGGTAGGTCTGATGGTTCTGGTCCCATAGGGACCCCTCCAACAGGGTAAGCACAGATTGAAGCCGCGCACAATTGCGGTCTCCATCTCTCCTCGACGGAAGTGCAACTGGAAGTCCAAGAGGTGTACTTGTAGTTCAAATATATTATCCATGATCCTGTAGACAAATCTCTACCATAGTCTTCCTTTACTTGGTACTTTCCCAATGACATAGATTATATTTCTCCTCACTTCTAGTTATCAGTTGTAGCCCACCATATTTACAGAGTATAGTGAAAGAATTAAGACTGTATATCTAATTTGAAACTTAAAGCAACCAGTGAGAAAGAACAGCTTGGAACCTTCTAGAAGTCAGGCAGTAGAACTAGCAAACAGTTTTAAATCAGAGATTCGTCATATTTGAGGGTTAAAACACTGATAGCATATTATGGTCACTTCAATGAAATAGCTATTATGAAGGAGGAGAGCTGTCTATAACCAAGATAGCAACTATAAAGGATATGACCAGTTATAGTTTATTAAAAGGCAAATTAGTGAACTGCTTTTTTCTGCTATACTCTGTAGGTCCCAAGGATATGTGTTATCAAATTCCACCTTACCTTTGTTTTGGGATGTACATAGAGATAAACAAAGACTGAGAGTTAAGAACATTATTTATTTATTTGGTTTACAAAAACTGTACAGAATTTTCTGCATGCAGCATGCCAGCTTCCCATTAATTTTGTTTTAAAATTAAACAAAATCTGTAAAAAGTTAAAAAGTAGAAGGTAGAAGTGTTTTTCAAAATATTAGTGTCCATGTCAACTAACTGAAAACACCTGACTTAGGTGAGTTTAAAGAAACTTCGTTAATAGATTTTGGTGGCTCCCTTTCTCTGGAATATTATTCCCCCAGAGATTAGAATGGCCCCACTTTAGCACTCTTCCAAAAGGCACTGAAGACTTGGTTTTGCCAATGGGCCTGGGGAACTCAAAGAGGGATGGAGCCCATCAAATGGCTAGTGTGATCTGCTGTCGTCAGGGCGGGGGGTGGGAGTTGTTCCCCCCCCCCCAAATTCTGTTCTATCATACTTTACTAATTTATTTGATTCTTTTTGTTATTCTTTTTTGTTTTTATTTTTTATTTTTATTTATTTTTTTGTTTTAAATATGATTTTACATTGTGTAAGCCGCCTTGAATAGGTGGTAATATAAATTAAATTAAATTAAATAAATAAATAATATCACGGGCATGGTATTATTTATTTATTTATTTAATTTATATTGCCGCCTACTTGGCCATGGCGACTCGAGGTGGTTTACACAATGTAAAACCATCTACATGTAAACCATAAACAATTTGGTTTCAGGAAAAAAATGTCCTGCAATCTTCAACTCCTACACTGCAAAAACATATGGACTACTCTACTTGACCAGGGTAAAGCTATAGATGCAATTTACATAGACTTCTGCAAAGCCTTTGATTCAGTGGTACATGACAAACTACTGTTAAAACTAAACTTTTACGGAATTTCTGGATCCCTTCATAAATGGATTACTGCATTCCTGTCAAACAGGCAACAAATAGTAAAAATACAGAGCGCTATATCAAACCCTGCTCCAGTTAACAGCAGTGTCCCCCAAGGCAGCGTTCTAGGACCCACACTCTTTATACTCTATATAAATGACCTTTGTGATCACCTTATAAGCAACTGCATCCTCTTTGCAGATGACGTAAAACTATTCAACACCACAGACAATGCTACTGTCCTTCAAAGAGGCCTTGATTATGCATCTGAATGGTCAAACAATTGGCAACTCTAAATCTTGACCAACAAATGCTCTGTCCTACACATTGGTAAAAAAAAATCAGTACACCTAATACAAACTAGGCAGATATGACCTCGTTGATGATCCTCACTCTGTCAAGAACCTTGGAGTTCTAATATCAAATGACCTAAGCGCCAGAACTCACTGTAACAGTATTGCCAAAAAGGCATTAAGAGTTGTAAATCTAATCTTATGAAGCTTCTCCTCTGGAAATATCACATAAAAAACTTTTGCTAGACCAATACTTGAATACAGCTCTTCAGTCTGGAATCCATACTGTATATCGGACATTAATACAATTGAGCGAGTCCAGAAGTATTTCACTAGAAGAATACTACACTCTTCCGCTCACAACAGAATACCCTATATCACCAGGCTTGAGATTTTGGGCTTGGACAACCTTGAACTATGCCGCCTATGGTTAGACTTAAGCGTAGCAAACAAAATTATGTGCTACAATGTCCTACCAGTCAATGGTTACTTCAGCTTCAACCACAACAATATAAGAGCACACAACAGATACAAACTCAATGTAAAACGCTTCAAACTCGATTGCAGAAAGTACGACTTCAGCAACAGAGTGATCAATGCCTGAAATGCACTACTTGACTCTGTTGTTACATCCTCAAAACCCCACTCCTCTAACCTCAAACTATCCACTATTGACCTCACCCCATTCCTGAGGTCTGTAAGGGGAAAGCTTAAGTGCACCATCGTGCCTACCATCCCTGTCCTATTGTCCCCATTTATTCGTACCTATTTCCTGTATTCTTACTTATGTTTATACTTATACCTATTGTTTTGTATGCAATTGACAATATAAATAAATAAATAAATGTAATTTTCACAGATTGTCTTTCCCTAAATACATGAAGGTGGGAGATACACAGCAAGGAAAAGGTCTACAACAGCTAGTCTGGTACCTTCCAGAATGGGAGCTCGGAAGAAGAATGTGGTTGCCCAGTTTTGGATACAGATTAAATATCCCACTCTCTGATAAAATTCTTTTTATAACTTGAATGTCTTTCATTTCTGATGCTGTTTTATGTGCTCACTGGCATTTGCATAATATTAAAAATGTTCAATTGACTGGGCTGCAGTTCATATACTCAAAAGCAGACTCCAAAAATTTTATCTCGTGGAGCTATTCCATGAGTGTTGCATGGAAAGATTACTAGACTGCAGCCAAAACTAAAAGATGAATAAGGCTTCTTATAGAAAATAGCTGTGAAGGAAAATATCACATATACAATATAGTTTAGTCACAGAGTTTTCAAGAGTTTAAACAGTTTGGGTGCAAATAAAATACCAAAAACTATTGTGATGGAGTTACATCATAATATTAAAAAAAAGTCCTCTTTACCTGCACTGCTCCAGAACTAGAGCCGTTTTCTGAGTCCACTGCCGATTAAGGTTTTGTAATCTCTTTACAGTGAAGTCACAGAGTGGCAATCTAAAGCTGACTTCATTCAATCTCTCCATTTCAGGAGACAAAGATGTAAGACTCAATAACTGGCTCTGAGAAGAACAAATAAATTAAATACTAGAAAGTCATGTTTGTTTGATTTCTTGCAAATGTTACCCAAAAGAGCAAATCACTTCTTTGATGCACAACAAGAAGCAAAAATCTCCAAGTCTCTCTATACAATGTTGCATACCATAGAAATTAGCATAATAACTATTTATTAGTGGGGCAAGTTTTCAGACTAGTTTGCAATATCAGGGAAGGGAAATATCATTGAGTCCAAGAGCTCCTCCTCCCCCCTATCTCAGTTTTTTGGAACTAATAAATGTTCATTATTTAGTGGAAGTTCATTAAATAGCGCCAGGAGCAACACTATACATTTGGAACTAAATAATTCTGAAACCAGGAATTTCAACATTGCCACAGAATATGCACTATTTTCACACAAAATAAAGAAATCCCAAACTTATTTTTAGATCAAAAGTCAGAAATCCTTGCTCAATACCAAAATCTTCTATCTGGCCATTCCTACACAATGTAGAGCTTATATTATAATATTATAATATAATTATTAGACTTATTTATATCTTGCTTTCCTTCAGATTAGTTCAGAATGGTAGACACAGGTTGCCCTATTTTATGCTAATTTGTTTGCTCAAGTTATTACAACTGGCCACAATTGAGCTTTGTACATCAGGACTACTGAATTACATGTCTCAGGCAGGATCTCTTCTTGTAAAGTCCCTTTTACAGTTACAGAGCATGTGAAAACATGCCTCACAAGGAACTATAGAAATGTGATGTTATTCTGTTTTCTTCAGGTAACAATTCAGAAAGACTTCTGGGTAAAGATGCAAAAAATGTGTCATATTCAGCCATTCCATGGCTGTGACTCCTAGCTTGACATGTTCCATGTGCAGATAAAGAGTGAAATATGCACATCCAATCTAGGCATGGAAACAAACATACAATTAGGCCACACAATTAGGCCAAACATACAATTACTAATGATATGGTTGCAATTGGCAGTGGGGAGGGAGAGGGTGAGGGAAAAAGCTAAGGAAACTAAAGGCTAAGAAAAGGAAGGCATTTTGCTTGAATATTGGTGCCTTTCGAAAGTTTCATCTTCAAAAAAGGGGAAAAACAGACCCAGAAAACTACAAACCAATCAGCTTAACATCAATACCTGGGAAGGTACTGGAAAGGATAATAAAAAACATATCTGCCAACATCTAGAAACAAGTAATAACTAGCAGTCATCATGGGTCTGTTAAAAACAAATCATGCCAAACCAATCTTATTTCATTCTTCAATATAGTGATTAAATTAGAAGACTAGTGAAACACTGTGGACATAATATGTGGACTTCAGCCAGGCATTCCACAAAGTAGACCACAACGTACTTCTTGGTAAGCTAGAAAAAAGTGGGATAGATAGCATCACTATAAAATGGATTCGCAACTGGCTGACAAACCATACTCAATGAGTAGTCCTTAATGGGTCTAAGTCTACATGGAGGGAAGTAAGCAGTGGGGTACCACAAAGTTCCATCTTAGGCCCCGTACCTTTCAATATCTTCATAAATGTCTTAGATGAGGGAATAGAAGGGGAACTTACCAAATTTGCAGATGATACTAAGCTGGCAGGAATAGCTAACAACCTAGAAGATAGGCTCAAGATCCAGATGGATCTTGACAGACTTGAACACTGGGCCATATCTAACAAAATGAAATTCAATGTAGAGAAAAGTAAAGTCCTACACTTAGGCAAGAAAAACCAAAAGTACACATACAGACTGGGTGAAACCAAGGTTAATAGCAGTAACTGTGAAAGAGATCTTGAAATCTTAGTGGACAACTAGGTAAATATGAGCCAGCAGTGTGCAGCCACCGCCAAAAAGGCAATGCAATCCTAAGTTGCATTAACAGAGAGATACAATCAAGATCAAGTGAGGTAGTAATACCACTCTATAAAGCCTCAGTAAGACCACACCTAGAGTATTGCATCCAGTTTTGGTCACCACACTGATAAAAAAATGTTGAGACTCCAGAAAAAATGCAGAGAAGAGTAACCATGATGATTAGGGGACTGAAGACTAAAACATACGATGAACAGTTGCAGGAACTGGGCATGGCTAGTCTAGTGAAGAGAAGGACCAGGGGAGACATGATAGGAGTGTTCCAATATTTGAGGGGCTGCCACAGAGAGGAAGGGGTCGAACTATTTTCCAAAGCACCTGAAGGCCAGACAAGAAATAATGGATGGAAACTGAACAAGGAGAGATTCAACCTGGAAATAAGGAGAAATTTTCTGACAGTTGTAACAGATAATCAGAATTGGAAGGGACTTTGTAGGTCATTTAGTCCAAGCCCCCACCCAAGCGGGAGACCCTACACTATTTCTCACAGATGGCAGTCCAATCTCTTCTAGAAGGTCTCAAGTGATGGCGCTCCCACAATTTCCGAGGGCAAGTTGTTCCATTGGTTGATTGTTCTCACTGTCAGAAAGTTTCTCCTTATTTCCAGGTTAAATCTCTCCTTGTTCAGTTTCCATTCATCTGCAAATTTGGTAAATTCCCCTTCTATTCCCTCACCTAAGTCGTTAATGAAGATATTGAAGAGTACTGGGTCTAAGACGGAACCTTGTGGCACCCCACTGCTTACTTCCCTCCATGTAGACTTAGACCCATTAAGGACTACTCGCTGAATACAGTTTGCCAGCCAGTTGCAAGTCCATCTAGTGGTGGTGCTATCAGTGAGCCCAATCAAACAATGGAACAGCTTGCCTTCAGAAGTTGTGGGACCATCACTTGAGACTTTCAAGAAGAGATTGGACTGCCATTTGTCAGAAATAGTCCAACTCCCCCCACTGATTGGAGGGTGGGAGTTGGACTAGATATCCTACAAGGTCCCTTCAAATTCTATTAATCAATATCTGTACCTGTTTTGCAACCTGATGTCTTTCATATATTTTGAATTTTAACTCCCAAAGTACCTTTTGATTATATCATGTTGCCTAGGATTGATGGGACTTCAAAACACCAGGAAATACTTCATTGCCTTAACTGCCTTAATTGTATACTAATATAAACGTAGGCTTACCATGAGTAGCTCCAAATTTTTATTGTTTTCACATGAATTGTCCAGTATTTCTGTGGAATTTTTAACATGATTTTCCAGTTTTTCCAAGGAATTCCCAAAATTCTCCATTTGTAAAAGACCATACTGAGGGAAGAAAGAATTATGAAATACTGGTATTCTATCTGATTTAACATATAGCTTTAAAATATAGTTTACCTGAAAAAAGTGGCAAATAACAGAAACAAAACGGGCTGTGGCTGTAAACCAGAGATTTAACACTTTAAAGTTTAAACAAAAAATGAAAAGGCCAAATTTTGCATCATATAGAACCTTGTGTTTTCTACTACCCTGTCAATTAATTTGCAGTCTCCAACAAGCCTACATACCTTCCCTATGTACCTGTCACCTGATTTTTTAAATCTTTTTTTAAAACCGATTATTAGTTGCTAGTTTGTTCTATATATCAAACACCAGCTTTCAATCTCATATTTTTCTCCAAAGGATGGCTCTTTGAAAAAATATAAAGGAGCAGTGACAGCACAAAATACATTCTCAAAATTCCAAGGCTGGCCCATTATAGCAAAAGTGTGGGAAACCCGGATATATAAATGAAAGGTATTTTCTAAATACAGCATTTGTGGAAAATTATACAACTTCCTATTCTCTTCTGAAAATGCTTATATCAAACAATTAGCAATACTTGATAAACATCTGCTTTCATCTGTAGCATCTTTTCCAGATAGGAGATCCTTTGAAGTGGCTGGAATTTCTCCTGAAGAAGGTTCTGTGTTTCTGGTTCAGCTAACAGAGTTATACTATCGCCTGATTTGGAAGCCTGAAGATAATATTCTTTGATGTCTTGAAGGCCAAGTTGCAGTCTCTAAAAATAAAGGAATTATGCCTTAGGAAAAGCAATGCAAGACCCCAGAACTAAGATTCTACCTGCTGGATTACAAGGAGCCACTATTCATCTAACTCTTACTACTTCTCTTTTGTCTATCCTCATTTTCAAGCCCTGATTTTTCACTGATTTTGGCACTAAAAACATCAAGAACGCTCACACAATGCAGCTGAGTTGCAGCTTTTGAATATTACACAGGTCTCCCAAATTAGACCTCAGCTTCCACTGGGACGGTCAGTGGAAATCAGTGTTAAAACTGTTACATGTAGCTGAAAAAAAATGTGCCCTATTTTATCTTAGGATCTTATAATTCAAAACAATGTTACATTAGCAATATAACAGTAATAGCAAATATAAACAGTCTTTATAAATCTAAACTGGAAAGCACAAAAGAACAAACTTTTCAATTATACTCTGGAGTAGGGGTTGATTTCCTTGAGGGCCACATCAGAGTTGTGTTTCACCTCAGGGGCCAGGGTGGGTGTGGCCAGCTTGACATTATTCATGTCAGGGTTGCCTGTAGTGGCCTGAGCACTCTGCCAGTGAAAACGTGTTCCTGAGCTCTGTTTTCGGCTGTGATGGCCTCCTGCAGCCCTTGGCCAGTGAAAACGGAGCTCCATTTCTCTGTCAGAAACACTGGGGGCCGGGTGGCCCTGGGGGCCAGATCTAAACACCCTGTGGATTACATCTAGTCCCTGGCCCTTGAGTTTGACACTCTAGAGTGCGCTAATTGAGGAACAAGACACATTGAACTTGGTAGGTCTATAGCAGGGCTGTCAAACTCCCAGCCCATGGGCCGGATGCGTCATGCGCTGGCCATGCCCTTGCCTGGTTTAATGAAAGGGGGGAAAGTCCTGATACATCATATGACACTGCCGTGACGCCATGAGTTTAACACCCCTGGTCTATAGAATAAAGGTGTGGAGAATGTTATGCAACTTTATTAGTAGATTTTTAAAAGTGGAAAAGGTCTGAGCTTAGAAAATCAGATTAGAGAAATACATCAGTCTAACCATATTCCTATCTTTCATCCTCTACATATGACATCCTGGAAGTGAGGAGATTACAACAAGCTAACCAAACTGAAGATTACCTCAATAAAGTACCACTGATTTGAGGTATATACAGTACATGCAGAGAGTTTGGGAGAATTATCTTTGCAGGTAGTGAATTGGAGGAATCAGGTCCTAGCACTCAAAAAGTCCTGTTATCTTCTTGCTTATCTGATTCATGAATTTGCTCACAGACTCACCTGAAGTACCTTAAAACACTATTCATTCAATAAATTATGACAGCTGTGGCATTCGGAAAAGACTGAGCTGAAGTCTTCACTCTGGTCCGTGTTTCCAGTGGGAACTCGGACCGTTCCTATTGGCTGATGCCGTTTGACAGCCGGCTCTAAAAGGGAGCTGTCAAATGGCATCAGCTGTTGTCTGCCGGCTGGCTACGTTAGCGTGGCAGCTGTAGCAACCCTTTATTGCTACAATAAATTAAAAGCTGAAGTTCGCTCCGTGTTTGCCTCAGGTTATTCTGCCGCTCCACAACAACAGCCACCATTTGCAAACCAAATATGGCACCAAAAAGCCATGCTCTCCCATCATAAAAACCTTAGTTCTGGTCAGAGGTGGTATCCAGCAGGTTCTGACCAGTTCTGGAGAACCTGTAGTAGAAATTTTGAGTAGTCTGGAGAATCAGCAAATATCACCTCTGACTGGCCCCACCCCATCTATTCTCTGCCTCCTGAGTCCCAGCTGATTGGCTGGGTCGTCTTTTGTTGCCCTGCACAGGAGAACAGAGCTGGAAAGTAGGTTAGTGATGTGGGGAGGGAATAGGGATTTTGCAGTAACCTTCCCCTACCACACCCACAGAACTGGTAGTAAAATTTTTTGAATCCCATCCCTGGTTCTGGTAGAGGATATATTTGAACAAAATGACTATATCTTCTGAAAGCTAATAAGGTGGTCTTCACATAAAACCTAGATTAACCAGACTGATGAGGTTCCAGATCTTCAATCCTGAACATTGTTGGTATGCTTAATTCCCTTTAACTTTCTGACTGTATATGATGAGCAATACAATTTTTTTTTAGAAAACTGTAGCTTGGTAGGTCTATTTTATGGAAAGGGAGGGGGAAATGCAATTGAGGAGCCCCTCATCCAAAGTATATAATTTAATACCATTTCCATTTAACACCAGCTACTTAAAAATCATGCTTTTGAGAATGAGAATCACAGCTTTTTAGTTAATGGGCATCAAATAAGTAGAAAATGCTCATTTACTACCATTAATGACAAATTTTGCCAATAGGACTAATGCTTGCCTGACTTCCTAAGCCTTTTTTCCCTTGTCACTGCTGCTTTTCAGGCTAAATGAATTCCTTGTTCCAAAGGGGTCCATTTTAATTTGTTCACATTAGGCTTCCCGAGCAATTTATTAAGGCCACACACACTTTTCTAACCATTTGCGAAAATGCAGAGAACTTTACTCTAAATCCTCAACCTCAGCTCAAACTGTTAGCACGGGGAAAAAGAAGATTAGGCTTAAAAGCACAACAAGTAGTCCGACAGATTCTTAATAGTCATTCACAACTGAAAAGAAAATGAAAAAAACATCATGCCCATCCATTAGGGTTCTTCTTTAGAATTACTCTTTATAAAAGAAGAATTGTTTAGCTCTCCATTGCTATTTTTTGTTAGGTTGTGTGGCGGAGGGGTGACTATTAACACCAGATGGCTTTACCAATTGCTTCTTGTTTGACAAAATTATCTTTTTTTTAAACTGTTGTCCAGAGTCATGGAATTATATTGTAGAAAGCTGTTTCTATATTATTATAACACAGCAGAAGCATTTCTACTGCTGTGTTACTACTTTTTACTGTATTACTGAGGAAAATTCTGAAATATTTCCCCCTACAGTGTAGATCTGTTAAATTGATATAAAATGCAGGTGGACTGGCTCTGATCCGGCAAATACCACTGTACATACTTTTTTTAAGTTCAAAGGTCAAAGATCTTGGTGCAGAAGAAAGTTGTAATAGAGGTAAGCACTCAGAACCAGCTGAAATTTCTTTGGCTTGGATTCATGACTAGGACTACAAGCCCTAGATACTCTGGCAAAAAATTGAGTTCCTCAGTAAAAATGGTAGGCTCAGATTTATTCTTCAATCAATTTCAATCAATTCCAAATTGAGATATTTGGTATCTACCGACAATCAAGTTTTGGTACATGTTGGGCAAATCCTCTAAGCCAGTCAGCTTTACAAATGCGACTAGCTGGTTACTTTGAAACATAAAGTGATGGATTAGAAATTCCCTTACTTTCACCTTGAGATAGCCCACTAGTTATAATTTACATCTGAACATCAACTTGAGATCATTGTGCTGCTGAAGCAGCACAAAACTGATCAAACAGATCTGGCAGGAAAGCAGGTTTTCAGTGGAAAAGTACAAGCCCTTCCCTATGCAAGGTTTTGATTTTCATGGAAGAGGAACCTGGGTGAGGTCAATGAGGTCTAGGATTCCAACTGGCCCACTACAGAACAGGGCTGGATGTCTCTTGTGGCTGCTGGAAAGAACAGAGCCAAGGTTTTCTCTTTTTTTGGTTCCAGTAAAACATTGACCTGATGGGAGATATCTACAAGGAAGATATTCCTGCTGACAACCTCTGCTATCTCCCACTACAGCAATATCTGCCTTTACCACCATGCATATTGGAGAGCACTGCTGCAGAAGTTATAGAAATGACAATGGTGTTCAGATGATATCTGTAGTGGGCAGGCAGCAAGGGACTCATACTTGGGAGGGACATAAGAAGGAGACAGCAGAGAAAGGGTAGAGTCCCCTTCCCTGCTGCTCGCTCCAACAAAAGCAGATGTGAGGGCCGCAACCTTGCTAGCCTCTTTTTCAAGTCAGAGGAAAAGAAACATTGGTATGTTCTTACATTCTTCCATCCTTACTTTTATATTCTCTGCCTTCTCCTTAAGAATATCCATTGTGCAGCTTGAGACTGTATCAGGCATCAACTGGGAATCATACTGTTCTTCACATTTGTCTAGTTTTGCTGAAAGCTCTGTATAGAATCCCCACAAGTTCAAATGTGCACGAGCTTTTTGTAGTGTTTCTTCAATATTTTGGTTTGTCAATATCCACCTATAAAAGATATAAAAATGGAATACAAGAGCAAGCAATTTGCCCGGTATTAGATAGATAGATAGATAGATAGATAGATAGATAGATAGATAGATAGACAGACAGACAGACAGACAGATAGATACTACACACACATATATATGAAAAAAATGCACTGATTTATTCATAATAACAGAATTAAGCAATTTGTTCTGGAGGCTGAAAATATTTCTACTTAAACGCCAATAAGCTATAAGGTCTCTTTGCAGGAAGAATGCCTTTCAGAGGGAAACTTCAATTTCCAAGGAAGATACATTTTTCCTCCCTTCAATGCCTTCCCATTTCTCTTATGATGTTCCCTGTCAAATTGGAGGTAATAGAATAGAATAACAGAGTTGGAAGGGACTTTGAAGGTCTTCTAGCTCAATCCCTGGTTTAGGCAGGAAACCCTATACCATTACAGTTGGAGCATTTACAACTTCTGGAGGCAATGATGGAACAAGCACAGGATTTCTTCCCATCCGAGTAATATTGTAGATGAAAACCAACCAACATTGTAGCTCCTGCCTCCTGAGCCCAATGATAGTTCCAAAGAGGATTTTCTCAATTCTCAGCTCATGAACAGCCTGCCTCATGAGAGGATTGGTACTGCCCATCTTGAAGGATGCAGTGGTGCACCTTCTCCTTACCTGAACAATAGACAATCTGTCTGCAACCTCCTCTTCTTGAAAGCAGATTGTTGAGAGAGTGGTAGAGATATTGTTACATAGAACCATGAAGAAAAAGGATTATCTGGACCATTTTCAGTCTGGCTTTAAGCCTGGGTATGGGACTGAAAACACACTGGTTGTGTTTGAGCATAAACTTCTGGGAAGGCTAAGAGCAGTGTGACTGTTCTGCTATAGTTTGAACTCCGAGTAGCTTTCAGTGCCATTTATCTCTACTTAAAGCATCTAATTTACTTCTGGATGCAATTCAACGTATTAGTTGGAACTAAGGGCATGTCAGCTACTGGAAGTGGTATGGTGTGAATGGACTGAATTTACTTGTGCCACAGAAAATGAGTGAGATTGGAGAGTTTGAAAATCCTTTTGAAAACGTATTGATCCTTCATGTACACAAACTTTGAAGAGCATGAGGGCCTTTAAAAAAAGTTTCTCAATATAATATTTGTTGTATCTTGTTTGGAATTAAAGCAATGATGGTAGACTGAATCCTTAGTTTTAGGTACTGCCAGATCCCTTTTTAAAAACTTTTTCTTATTTTTCTGCCCAGGAAGGCTATTATTGCAAACATTTAGATAAACAGCAGTGATCAGCACAACAGTGTCCAGTGTGCAGAGCAAACTAAAGTGATTCACACAATTACTTTGTCCCTAAAAGATAAAGATGACCAAATCAAAACCATTATATTAATCTCCTATATAAATTAAGCAGTATCTTATGTCTGCTGGCAATAACTGCAATTGTATTCGGCAGAAATAATTTTTTGAAGTCAGACTTCTAAATAGTGAAAGGAAAAAAAAAAGTATTGTACCTTGTGCGTGCCTCTTCGTGTTTTTGTTCAATAATCTCTGAGAATGAGGGATCACACACTTTCTTCAAGTTATCAGCAGCAGTCTGGAGCCTAGCCCAGATTTCTTTGTTTCTCTCAGCTTTATCTTGAAGGGACTGTAGAAAAAAATGCCACTTAATTAGTTATAAATGTGATGATGCTTGAGGAGATGGTTATTGGTATGCTACCTTATATCCATCCTTCCAAAACAGCATATTTTCACCAAATTTAGCAGGATTTGAGTAGTGACAAGGTTGTCATTGTTAATCATGCTTTTCTGGATTGGCAAAAGGTCAGAGGTGGGCTGCTGCAGGTTCGGATGGGTTTACCCGAACCCCTTGTTTCGATTCTGCACGGTTCAGAGAACTGGCAAATAGGAACACTGGCTGGCCCCTCCCCTGCCTGTTTTCAGACCATTTTCAGATGTTTTGGGGCAAAAAACAGCTTGAAAATGGCCCCCAAAAAGGCCGAAAAATGGGCGGGGGCGGAGCCAGCCAGTGATGGGATTGGGCCCCAACTAGCTGAATCCTACCTGTTCCTTTGAGGTGAGTGGTCAGGAGGCAGGGCTGCGTGTGATGAGTGACATCACCCACCCAGTCACATGACCAACCAGCCATGCCTACCCAGCCAGAGAACCAGTTGCTAAAACATTTGCAGCCCACCATTACAAAAGGTGTGTGTGTGTGTAGGGGGAGATCTTCCAAACTCATTCTTCCTTTTAGGAAGCTTGTAAATAGAAACATCTTCTCACTTCCTGATCCTTTTGGGCTTGGAAACATGCCGAGAAAACTCAGTAACTTTGTACAAAAAATATGTGCTACTCCCAAGTCCTGACACTAATGGAGGACAATTCTCATTACAGATTAACTCTCCAGAGCTTTCTACAGATAAACCTTAAAGGCTGCTGATTCATGCTCCCTGTCAGATTGCTCATTGCACATCATTTTCTCTTTTCAAGTTGGAGCAAATTGTTTTTATTTATTTCATCTGTAAAAATCATGATTTATGCTTTCTATCCCAAGCAGGATCAAGCATCAGGGTTTGTTCTTGATGTTCATTCTCTGGTTTTTAGGTCTTGCATAAATTAATCTGCTACTACATTTCAAACTGGAGAAACACAGTATGTGGGAGGAACAGCATATGGGTCCAGGATATCTGTTATGATTCAATCATGTAACACCACCACATATTCATTTGGCATTAATATCTAGAGCAGCTCCTTATTTTTAAGAAGGGATATTGTAGAACCAAGGAGTTCAGCATATTGGTCTTTATGAAATATACCTGGAGATCTTCCACTTGCTTTTTCAGTGACTTCATTGTAATGAAAGGATTCTTGCTATGCTCCAGGCAATATGCAGCATTTGCAAGCATCAGCCTGATTTCATCCCAAACTTCATCATAAGTCTTCCAGCACTCTAAAGCAGACTCGGTAGATGACTTAAGCTGTGCAACCTGCAAACATACAAGCCTGTGCTTAAAAGGATGTATATGAAATTACTTATTAGGACATTTGAAAACTGCTCAAGAGACACCCCCTGTTGATTTTCTATTACATCATTTTCTTTCTGATACATGCTGGATAAAAAAAAACCTAAGTATTTATTTAATAATGTAAAATATAAATGATTTCAGGAGTACTAGCACATGCAAATGTGTTCAAAGAAAATGTGTTCAAAGAAAAAAAAATCATCAATCTGTATAAGAGACTGCAGTATTAGAATAATTTTCATTATCAGTTTAATATGAGGACAAAGTCCTGTTGTGCTTGTAGAGTTCATTCCAGTATGCTTGGTTAGATGAAGTCATAAAGGAATAAAAGCACTGGTTTCACTCTCTTGAATGCTGACATCTCAGCAGGAAAACTCACAAATTCAGAAATTCCTGCAGTTTTCAACTGCAGAAGGAATAGACAAGTCAGCTGCAAGTTTTTGTTATATGAAAGCTGAAAATTGCTATTAAACAATTTTGGGTTTTTATTATTTCCGATTTGTTACAAACTACGTGCAGCTAAGCAGCATCTACAGAACTTTGGTAGTTATTGTACCAAGCATAATGAATTAATGGCTGAATTGGGAGATAAAATCTGAGTTTCATATTTCACTTTTGCCAGGATAGCCCACATGCAGAAAAACATTAACATTTAAGGTATCAAATTGGAAAGGTAAAATATGATATTCTGAGCATCTAGTGCCAATCAGAATAGACAATATTTGACTAGATGTGCAAATAGTCTCATTTTATAATGATTTCACATTTCATAATTTGCTAGACAAAATCTGCCAACTTTTGACTTTTCCAATTATAGAAGGTCAATAGTGGACTGAGATCTCAATAAAGGCTGACTTTTAGGATGTGTCAAAACTTTTAAATTTAGCCATCTATCAAAAATATCCAACAGCCCATATAAGTTTTGTTATTTACTTATTGGCCTATGATTCTGAAAGTTTTAAAAATCATATATGGTATATAGAAGGTGAGCATAGAGCTTATTCCTTCAGTTTTCTAGTTCTGCTGGAATCTCAGGTCATCCAATGAGCCAATAGGAGGCTCAAGTCTTTTTTCAGACAATCCATAATAATCTTGTGGAATTCACTATTATGGAGATAACCATCAATTAAGAAATGCCAAAACAATCAGGCATATTATAGAGAAGAAATAATCAGTAGCAGTATTCATAATGATGAGATATCATTAACTTCACTATTAGATCGTACTGGTTGGTCTTTGATCACAATAAAAATAATTGATTTTATGTTTCAGTATGAGAGAAAATATATTTAAGTCCCAGTTTCTAAATGGCAAATGGAGCTTCCCTGGCTCCCATGTATTGTTGGTTGATTTCTGCCTGACCACTAAAGTCATCTAAATTGACTTCTTGATTAATTTAAATGTGTAAGATCTAGTAGAATGGCACATATATTTCACAGAAAATATCATAGTTTTAATTTCTAACAATCGTAACAGAAGATTATCCTCTCAATTCTGGACATGTGAATGGGTAGGAAAACTGCTTTTAATTATTAACAAGGAAATATCCCTTTTCTGTTCAGACCCACTATAACAGCATCTACAATAATCTATGAACATTTATACATTAACTTTCTCTTAAACAGAAGTTTGTTTAAGTAGATGAGAACATTTCAAATATAAGTGGAAGTGGTAAAATTAGATTAGACAATACTTTTGAATCCAAATGATTGCAGACATACAACAGAACTATTCATACAGAAGCCTGAAGTGCACATGAAAACCTGAAAGTCTTCAGACCATTGTACTTATTATCTGTTTTTTCTTTTCTTTATACATATTTTCAGAATATAGATATCTCATATTGCCTTCAAAGACCCTATCTTTGTATAGAATGGTTTCAAATCCTAGCATGGAAAGAAACCACTGGGTGACATTTAACAAGTCACTAATTCTTATACATAGCCAAAAAATAAAGATATCAACCTGATTGATAATGCTAGTTCTCATTTCAGCCAAATTGGTGATTGTGAACCCTATTTTCTTGGCAGCATCAGCACAATCCTTTAAAGCTGCAAGATTGTTTTTCAGTTGATCCACTTCCTTAGACTTCACAGCAAGCTGATTTTCTAACACCTGACAAGTAGACATAAGAGGAAAGCCATTATTCTTTGAGTACAATTTGGGGGGGGGGGGAGAATCAACATTTAACATTAGAACATGGGACATGATTAAGATCAATGCCAAGTAACATGTTAAATTAAATGGAACAGAACTTTTTGTTAAAACCTAAGAACAATATAAGCATAGCCTAATTTAGGAGAGGAGAGGGGGGAAGAGGGAGAGAGTTATAGAGATATATAGCATAGATGCTTGCATGTATGTATGTATGTATGTATGTATGTATGTAAGTATCCAATCCACCCTTAAAACTGTGTAATATACAGGTTCGATATCATGTAACTCTACAGGTTAATAATGCATTATTACATCAATATATGCTCTCTTTTGCCCGTTCTAAATCTTTTCCAATCTGTTTCAATGGACAGCTCCTTGTCTCACTGCTTTGAGAAAAAGACAAGTTTTGTTCACTTATCCATTTTCTCTAGGCTTTGTACACCTTGATCCTATACTCTCTGTCTCAGCTCCTTTTTCTCTAAACTGAAGAGTTTCAGACAGTCTTTTGTCATAAGGAAGGCCATCAATATTTTGGTTATCCTTTTCTGTACTTTCCCCCCCAATTATTATCCTTTCCACATGTGTACACAGTGTTCCAGATGGAGACAGACCGTGGATTTGTATAAAAGAATGTCAGGATTACCAATTTTATTTTCAATCTTTTCCTAATGATCCCTAACATGGAACCTGCCTTTTCCACACTGAACACTGATTGTAAAATCTTATTGATCTTTGACGCCAATGTTTTTCCAGATTAGATATAGGCAGCTCAGCATATATGAAATCCAGGGGAAGGAGAAGTTCACTGCTACTTAGGTGACTATTAATTCAGTACAATGAGCTCCTTATACATATCTCCACAATTACTCTTGGTTTTTATTCCAAATATTTTATTATTATATTCAAACTTGCATGAAGTAATTTATGAGCAAA